ACTGTCGAGATTGAAGTTCCAACTCCAACCACTACCATCACTTCCACTTGGACTGGTACTGAAACCACCACTACTACTCACACTGCTCCACCAGGAGGAACTGTTACCGTAGAAGTTGATGTTCCAGGTTCTTACACTACTGAGACCACAACTTGGCCAGAGTCCTACACTTCTACTACAACAATTCCTAACACTACAGGTGGAACTGGTACTGTTGAAATTGAAGTTCCAACTCCAACCACTACCATCACTTCCACTTGGACTGGTACCGAGACCACCACCACTACTCACACTGCTCCTCCAGGAGGAACTGTTACCGTAGAAGTTGATGTTCCAGGTTCTTACACTACCGAAACTACTACTTGGCCAGAGTCTTACACTTCTACCACAACTATTCCAAACACCACTGGTGGAACTGGAACTGTCGAGATTGAAGTTCCAACTCCAACCACTACCATCACTTCCACTTGGACTGGTACTGAAACCACCACTACTACTCACACCGCTCCACCAGGAGGAACTGTTACCGTTGAAGTTGATGTTCCAGGCTCAACTTCTTCATCGTCAGTAGTTTCTTCTTCATCGTCAAGTTCAAGTACTTCATTGATATCTTCAACTTTATCATCATCAACATACTCCAGTATTGTCTACTGGAACTCGTCAAGCTCAATCCCACCATCATCCACAGTTTCGTCTACTATTATTCCAAGTACGTCATCATCAGCCGTACCAAGCACCTCATCTTCGGTTGTTTCAAGTTCTTCATCATCAGTCGTACCAAGCACTTCCTCTTCGGTCGTGTCAAGTATTGTACCAAGCACTTCATCCTCGGTTGTTTCTAGTTCTTCATCACCAGTTGTACCAAGCACCTCATCCTCGGTTGTTTCTAGTTCTTCATCACCAGTTGTACCAAGCACCTCATCTTCGGTTGTTTCTAGTTCTTCATCACCAGTTGTACCAAGTACTTCTTCATCAATCGTTCCAAGTGCTTCTTCATCAACTAGTCCAGGCAGTCCTCCAACAACTGGTCCAAGTGCTTCTTCATCAGTTCCAAGTACCCCAATTGTTACTACAAGTACTTCAACTGAGACTGATTCAAGTTCTTCGAGTGTAAGTACAACAACTTCGCCAGCTGTACCAAGTACTCCTGGCGCATCGACTGCTGAAACTACTACCACAGTCCCAGCAATCACCGAGACCACCACATCAGCTCCACCAGCTGCTCCTACTTCTGACACTACGACACCTGAAGCTCCAGTGGACGTCACTACAGCACCTGAAACCCCAGTGGCCGTCACTACAACTACTAGCGCTACTGGAACATCCACACCAGGCGAAGGTGCCCCAGTAGAAACCACTTCTACCGTTGCCACCGAGGAAACTCCAGTGACAACACCAGTAGGCTCAGTAACAACTTCTGCACCTGCAGAATCACCATCTGCTGTAACTACATTAGGTACTTCATCTGTTAGCTCAGCTTCTGCATCTTCAGCAGTAACTATCCCTCAAGCTAACAGCGGATCAAAGAGCAAATACTCGATATTATCATTATTGATGATTGTTCCACTTTATTTCGTCTAATAAACTAGAGAGATGAATCATAACCAGAATAATAATAATAATTTAGAGAGCTTGGCTCTTTCTCCAGCAATTTTCTTCCAAGAATTTCTTCCTGATAGTTCACAATATTTCATTAACCCTACAATTGAAATATTTAATCACCGAACTGTTCGTGTCAATCTTTTGAGACATTTTTTCATTCAATTTCGTTAAAAGGAAAGCTTTATACCATGGCTAACACCATATAAACTATAGAAAACAAAACCTCCACTAGAAGGTAACAACAAAAAAAAAAACACACGGTCATGATATTAATACATTTAAGCTTTTCCGCTTTCTTGAAGACTTGATATCCTTCAAGCAATACATTTTAGGTAATAGGTTTTTCATTCATAGAGATTTTATTCGTTTCTTTCTAGCATACATATGTATCACAGGTGCATCATTTTGCACCACACAATACCCGGTATTTCTTATATAGTCTTGGTATGTACCATAAACTATCATAGTGAACATTTCAAATAAGCTTTATTGTAGTATGAGCCGCACTTCCATAGCTTACGTCATTTTGACAGGTGTGTTCCTCCACCGGGCGCGAAGTTTCACGACCTTAGTAATTCAAAAATTTTATTGCTACTTCTTCTCTGATTGCTTATATAATTACAATTGAGTAAGTATTAAGTATTATTATTATTATTATACTTTGTATATATTAGATAAGCTCGTAGTTTAAAAAAGAAAAAAGAATGGCTTCAAATCCTCCAAGTGCGTGCTGTGTGGAACGTTCACTTCACGAAGGTGAAGCAAAGGGAACCCATGTAGATATTTTTGGACTCCCCACCTATCAAGTAGGTCAGGAAAATGGTAACGATAGAATTTTGATTATTGTTTCCGATATTCACGGTTTTAAGTTCAAAAATACTCTTTTACTTGCAGACCATTTCGCTAAGGCTGGTTACCATGTTTTACTCCCTGATATCTTAAATGGAGACCCTGTAGGAGAAACCGATTTACCTACCTGGTTGAAGAGCCACACTCCAGAAATCACCTCCCCAATTGTTGAGGGGTTCGTTACCAAGGTAAAAACCGAATACAAGCCAAAGGCATTGGTTGGTGTAGGCTACTGTTTTGGTGCAAAGTACCTCGTTAGATTAATGACCGAAGAAAAACCATTTTTCGACTCTGGTGCTATCGCTCACCCTTCATTTGTCTCAATTGACGAAGTCAAGGCCATCGCCAAACCAATTTTAATTTCAGCTGCTGAAATCGACCAAATTTTCACCGTTGAATTAAGACACGAGACTGAAAAAGTCTTGACCGAAGGTAAGAAGACATTCCAAATCGACTTGTTCAGCGGTGTTGCTCATGGGTTCACCTCAAGAGGAGATATTTCCGTTCCTCATATTAAATATGCCAAAGAAAAGGCATTCCAAGATCAAGTTACTTGGTTCCAACAAGTCTAGGATAAGGACTTTATTTATGTTTTTTTTTAAGCCATTTTTTTTTTAGTTTTCAACATTGCTTATATTGCCGTTAGATATCAATACAATGCCAAACTGCCACATAGGCTAGCCGTATCTTTTCGTTCGCTGAAGTGCAACCAATATATGTTTTAGGCTATACTCGTATATCTCTCAACGTCTTGTAGCTTATCGCGGAATTTTGATAGCAAAGTTCCGCGCCGTTCTACCTTATGGCTAAGTTGCTTTCCTTTTCTATGCTTTCTTCTTGAAAAGGGTGATCTTCTGTAGTGAATGGCAATTAAGATGCTTCCGATTCACGAAAAGGGACCTAGCGGTCTGTTGAACAGCTCCAAAATGCATTTAAAGCACCAATGGCTGACGGTTGGCCAGAAAATTCTCGCACTAGTGACAGTCTTATCTCTCGCTACTGTGATCTGTAAACAGAACTACTACCCATTATTCCAAGCTAACTTCATTGGAGACCCTGGAAACCCGGATTCGCTCTGTCCGATTGTGGCCAAAATTGATCCTTCAGAGCATATTTACGACAATGCAACCATCGACAAGATCCTCAATGACCCTGACTTCAGAGCCAGATCGATCGAGCGCTTGTCTTCAGCTGTGAAGATCCCCACAGAAATCTATGACGATACAATTCTCCCCAACGCTGCCAAGAGCAAGAAGGACTTATACAAGCTCGAACCACTTTGGGAAGAATACGAAAAGTTTCATAAATTTTTAAAGAAAGCCTTTCCCTTGATTCATAAGAGCTTGAAAGTAGAAGAAGTCAATAAGTTTGGGCTCATCTACACCTGGGAAGGCTCTGATAAGAAAAAGGAGCCATTGATGTTGACTGCCCACATGGATGTAGTTCCGGTTCAAAAGGAAACCATAGACCAATGGACTTATCCACCATTTAGTGGTGAGTACGATGGTGAGTTCATGTACGGGAGAGGTGTTTCTGATTGCAAGAATTTATTGATTGGGCTTTTAGAAACTATTGAGTTATTTTTGGAAGAGGGTGAATTCAAGCCAGAGAGGACTTTGATCTTGGGATTTGGTTATGATGAAGAATCAGGTGGTACTGGAGCTGGAGAGATTTACAAAGTTCTCATTGAGAGATACGGCGAAGAGTCGCTCTATGCAATTATCGACGAGGGTAATGAAGCTTTTGAAAAAATACAGGGACTTAACTTTATCTTACCGGCTACTGGAGAAAAGGGCCACCTCAACTCCATTATTGAATTGTACACCCCAGGTGGCCATTCATCTGTACCTCCCAACCATACTCTGATTGGAATTTTGTCCAAACTTATCGATTTGATTGAAGAAAACCCTTACGACAGCATCCTTACGAATGCAAACCCAGTCTTAAACCAATTGCAATGTGTTGCAGAGCATTCTAAAACCGTTGAGAAAACGTTGAAAAGAGATATATTGCAGGCCCAATTCAACCCTTCTGCTAATCAGGCGGTTATTGATTTTATCTCGAAAGATCTGACCAGATATCTCGTAGCAACTTCGCAAGCTGTTGATATCATTCAAGGTGGTGCCAAATCAAATGCTTTACCAGAGCATGTTTCTGTTTTAATCAACCATCGTATTGCCATAGAAGAATCTGTTTCACTGACGGCTGGAAAGATTTTGGAACATGTTAAGGATATTGCACAAAAGTTTGATTTGGGAGTTGTATACGAAGGGGATGAATTGGTGAAGCCAACTGCCAGGGGATATTTTAATTACACTCTTAACGAGCCATTAGAGCCTTCACCAATCACGCCAATCAACGATAAGGTTTGGGAAACATTTGGTGGATCATTAAGATATTTTTATGAAGACTTACTCTTCCCGGAAAAGGATGAAATATTTATCCCAGCACCATACATTTCTATTGGTAACACGGACACTAAGAATTACTGGCCTTTGACCAAGCACATCTTCAGGTACTCGCCAGGTATTGAGGGAGGTTCCAACATTCACTCTGTGGATGAAAAAGTTAAATTTGATGTACATTTACAAGCTATTGCTTTCTTTTACTATTACATTCAACTTGTTGACAGTGAATAGAGAGATGGGTTTGATTTTTGGTCAGTGGCTGGTGAAACATTAGAATATACACAGCTGCAACCATTTGGCAAAAAGCTTGATATATCGATAAAAAACATCATCTCCTTGAAAGAATAGACTACCATAAGCTATCCCAAGCCGACTAGACAAAAAAATGTTGAAGTATAACATACAAACAGATATACAAACAGAATACACACTATGACCACTTCTATACCCCAGCCAAAATGTGCTGCATAATTTTTTTTTTTTTTTTTTTTTTTTTCACTCGCTTGATGCTTAAGCGATTTTAGTGATGAGCAGAGCAACTCTGTTCATGAAGATGTTCATTCATTTGTAGTATACACTTGTAGTAGAAGAATGCCTTCTGAATTAGAAGAACTCGTAGAATTCTTGCACCACGACCGTGCCGAAATCGTTCAAATCGCCTTGGATAATCTTGTCGGATACTCGACCGGTGCTCACCAACAAGTCTTCAGCTATGATGACTACACTGCGATTAAAGATCTCAAGGGATTGGCTAGATCTAAGGGTAGAACCACAGCAAACCAAGCTGTGACTATTTTGGCTAACTTGTGTGACGACATCATCATGCGTAACTTAATAGTGGAGGATTTGGACTTTTTACAGTACTTAGTCTCATCCATCATAGACATTACTAATGCTAACGCTGACATCATGTGTATTCTTCTTACCAACTTGGCTAAGAACGATTCCATCAACAAGATATTCGATTTCAGTATCAAACACACCACTGACGAGCAAAAGGCAATCTTCAAGTCCGAAAAAGCAATGGACTGTTTAATGGACTGTTTCGTCAAAGGTTCAGACAGAACTCTTAACAAGTCCGCTGAGTTCGACTACTTGTCGTACTTCTTCGCAGACATTTCAAGGTTCTTACAAGGTAGAGAGTACTTTATTACTGAACAAGCTTACGATGGGGTTGTCCCAATCTCCAAACTTCTTGTTTTCACCGAATTTTATGAATCAAAGATTAGAAGAGAAGGTGTTTCGTCCACCATCAAGAATTCTCTCTTCGATTCCAGCAAGCACTGGAAATTAGTTACTGACCCTAAGATTAACTTGTTGCCGTATATCTTGTTACCAATCTCAGGTCCGGAAGAAATCGACGACGACGACATGTTCAACCTTCCAGAGGAATTACAATTACTTGGCGCTGACAAGAAGAGAGATCCAATCCAGTCCATCATCTGCACTCACTTGGAATCCATCTTGTTGCTCTGCACAACTAAAAAGTTGAGAGAATACTTAAGAGAGAAGTCCGTGTATGCCCTCATTAAGACTCTACACAATGCATATGACTCTGAAGAAATTGTTGAGCTTTGTGATAGAGTAGTTCAATTATTGATGAGAGATGAGGCACCAGAAGATGCTGACGCCATGGAAGAGGATGAAAGTGACGATGACGACGATAAAATTGTAGAAGTCTTGTAAGTTGCTTAAAAAATACTTTATATAGATGTATATTAATAAGAGAGATACCTTGTATTTCCACCCACTTCCCGCCTTCGTAGTTACTACAACTAGGTCGTTTTTTTTCACTATTTTCCGACTATTTTTCGACTATTTTCATCTGTTTTGTATAATTATTTAGTATTACCATCATTCAAAGTGGAAGCTCCTTGGCTCTTGTATGATCTGAGCCATTCTTCAGTTCTCCTCCTTTAAGAACAACTTCTTATCCACTAATTTCAAGTTTTGCTTAACAATAGAAATAATTCTTTGTTTATTGTCCTGGTGTGCATTAACACGGTTCTTCAAACCAACCAAAAGTTCCATAATTGTAAGCGGATTTTCTCTGACAATATCCAAGACTTCTTTGGTGGTAACTAAAACGCCATCTGGTCCACTAGAGCCGAGATCCACAGGACCGCTGTTATTTGTAGGAGTTGGTGATGGGGATTTGCTTTTCTTCTTAGCTGCCTCAACCGCATCCTCCTTTTTAAGAGAAATCTTAAGCTTGGTACTTGGATCGCCAGGCATTTTTCTGCCATTTGGATTCCATGTTCCCGCTCTAAAATTGCTCAAAAATGCTGGTGGAGCCTTAATGACTACAAATCCATCTCCTCTATCGCTGGCAAATATACTGCGTGGTTGCTGTACCTGCTGTTGATCTTGAAGCGTCTTGGAAATTGATTCATCTTGAGGCTCATTCTTGACGGTGATATCATTTTCATCGCTATCATCGTCACTCTCCAAGTCTGATTTAGAGAGATATGGGTTAAGTTTGTCATCATCGTCTGTATCGTAAACACCGCCTTCAGTTTTATTCAAAACCTTACGCAATTTCTCACCTTCTTTATCAACTTTTCTTGTCTTTTCAGTCTCGAACAAATCATCCAAGTCTCCATCATCATCTTCGACGTCTGAATGACCTCCGAAATGAGCAGCTTTGTACATTTCCTTCTTCAATTTCTTTTCAGAAAGTTTATTTTCCTCTTCATCTCCGTCCATAATTGGAGCTTCTTCATCGTCCGCAAATTCTTCATCGAAGTCTAAATCGTCATGATCAGAATCTTTGTCATTAGATGAAGCACCACCGATAACCGTACGAAGTTTTCTTCCTCCGCTACCATTACCCCTTCCATTGAATCCATTCCCATTTGGTCTTCCATGTATTATGTTGGACGAAGAGGAGCCAGTTGAATGTCTAAATCTTTGATCGGTGGTGGCTTCACCTGGTCCACCGTGCGATTGATCTTCCATGTGCTTCATCAACCATCTTGGAACTGAAGAGTTCTTCTCCATCTTAGCTTCAGCTTCCTCTAAAGTTAAAGTAGCATACTTATTTCTAGGGGTAAACTTGTATACTTTTTCCGCTGGTACCATCTTAAATCCATCCTTATCGAAAACGAACAAAACATGTTGGGTATCAGACGAACCGGCCTCATAGTTACCAACAAACACATTCTTACCATCGTAATCTTCCAATACCCACGGGTAGTATTCTTCGTATCTTAATTTTCTCTTTTCATCATCCATGAGGTTGATCTGTCTAGTCTTACGCTTGAAGACATTCTTACGTGCCTTCCTTGCTCCTCCATCTGGAGCAACCTGTGACATATCAGCACCGCCATCTGCTGGCTTCTTTGGAGGATCAGGATTGACTAGACCTATCCCAGTAGCACTTATGTTATTTTTAATGTCATCTCTCTTCTCACCCCTGGCAAAGGCAGCAGCAGCCTCAGCAGCCTCAATTTCTTCAAGCTCTTTGGCCTTTTTCTCGTCGTTTTCCTTTTTTATCCTTTCCCTCTCCCTCTTGGCTTCTTCCTGCTCCTTTTTACGTTGCTCTATTTCCTGCCTTGTCAATTGAAATTGGATATTTCTGGGGTCCTTCCTGTGCAAGCGCACGGGCTTCGTGAAGTTGTTGACAATGTCTACATTCTGCTTAGTTTGGAACTTCAAGATATGGTAACGAATGTCCTTGACTTCCTCTTCGGTACATGCCTTCAAGGGGATATCCTGCCATCCTTGGTCCGATTTGAATGAAGATGGCGATGGTTTAACATCTGGTCCAGGTGTGGAGGCACCACTTGTTGCCGTTGAAGATGCTGATGCCGGCGGAATGGGAGACCCGCTGATTCCGGGCTCTACTTTCACACCAGGCTCTATTTTAACGGCTCCTTCCTCTGACTTGATCGATGAATTCTGGCTCATGCTGGTAATGAAGGCAAAGAGAGAACAACAACCTGCTGGGACAGTGCTGTTAGTCAATTTGGAATTTTTTTTTGGCACAGTTGATTTTAAGGTCGTGTGCGGTGAGAAAATAGTTAGGGTGGAGTAGGGCACCAGTGAAGACGGTGGGAGAGAGGGAGAGAATAGTGGGGCAGACAGCGCAGTGGTGTGGTGGCTGGATGTCAAGAATAGCAAGACACTATGTAGCGCGCAAAAGAAAGATACCGAGCTGAAGTTAGCACATTGGAAGGCTTGTGTGCATGGAAAAGACGTCCTTGTTGTATTCTATCACCATACTATACATATTGTGATGCACCTGCTTGAGGCGCTAGGATTTATTTTTCGAGACGCTAGGTTTAGTGCAGCGGGCCAAGTTTAGCGCTGGAGACGCTAAATTTCTAGTGTTGCAATTTAGTCAGCAAGATGCAAACAGACACTTACTTCAGGGAAAAGGCAGTCCAAGAACCCCATATTTAGCACTTCTTCGAGTGATACTTAAAATTTCTACCTCTGTCACTCAAAAAACCACTCTTTTCTTAATTCTGACCAAATTGTACCCCTGTCTTGCCCTCTGTTTGCCGACTTAACTCGGTTTACCTTGCCAGGCTCTTCTGGCGCACTCTTCCCTATTTTATTTGTTACCGGTACCGGCGATATTTGTCCGGTGACGTAGGCTCGACCCCAGATCGGATATCGGAAATTTTTCACTACTTTTCACCGGACAAACTACTCTCTTCCTTCATACTTCACACGTCCAAGGGATTCTTGATAGTATCATATCTGACACATAGCATACGAGGCTAGCATATTCTCGGCTTAAACATCTTTTAAGAGGCTTTTTTTTGCACATAATTCCGATTTTCCACTTCTTCGCTTACCAAATAATTTTTCACTTACATGTCTGTCGCTGTTACTGATAAGGAAGATCAGCTCTTGGACGCTAGAAACCAAATATCCCCGCCCCCTCCTCCTAGATATCTTGGGTTTGTGGCCGGGATGTTCTCTGGAGTAATGAAGAATGTAGTTGGGCATCCATTCGACACCATAAAGGTACGTTTGCAGACTGCACCTCTGGGAAGATTCAAAGGGCCCATCGACTGTGTGCTACAAACGTTGAAAAATGAAGGCCCAAAAGGTTTTTACAAAGGTTTTACACCCCCATTGATAGGGTGGGTTCTCATGGACTCAGTAATGTTGGGCTCCTTGCATTTATACAGAAGAATTGTCAAGGAAAATATATACCCCAACGAAGCCAAATTGCCATTATTTGGCCATGTCATAGCGGGACTTGGAAGTGGACTTACAGTATCCTTTGTAGCAGCCCCTGTGGAACAGTTCAAGGCAAGGCTTCAAGTTCAGTACGACGCCAACTCCAAAATATACTCCGGTCCCCTCGATGTTGCCCAGAAGCTCTACAAGGTGTCTGGGATCAGAGGTATCTACTCCGGTCTATGCTCCACCATGATCTTTAGAACCAATTTTGTATTTTGGTGGGGGTCCTACGAGCTTTTCACACAATGGTTTCAAAAGAACACTAAGCTATCCAATCCTTCCATCAATTTCTGGTCTGGTGGGTTGTCTGCTACTGTCTTCTGGATTTTTGCTTATCCAGCAGATGTGGTCAAACAGACCATCATGACCGACAGTCCAATCCGCTCGGAGAAGAAGTTCCCTAGGTGGATAGATGCCGTCAAATACATCTATAGAGAAAGAGGCCTTGCCGGCTTTACTAGAGGGTTTGGACCTTCCATTCTAAGGTCCTTCCCAGCCAACGCTGCAGCATTGGCTGCTTTCGAAGCTGTGATGAGATTCTTACATTAGTTACCTTTTAAAGATAATAATATTTATATAGTACACATGGGAATATACCCCATTTGTCTTGAAAAACCCCAACTTTAAACAAAATCTTCCGATGTACCCTCCTTATTCCTTTCCCATGGCTTTACTCTTTGTTTACCTTCTGGCTTGGATTTTTCTTCAGATAAAACGGTATCAGGTATATTTTTGATCCCTGGTATTGGTTTGCCAGCTACAATCAATTCAACCAATTCTTGGTAATTGGAAGAGTATGGTGGGTCAGATGATGCTGGTTCTGGTTCCACTTTTTCCTCCTTCTTTACTTCCTCATCAGTGAGTTCCTCTACCTTACGTGATTTCTTATACTTATCCTCATTATGAATCTTCCAGTCCTCAAAGTCGTCCAAGTTCAAGATATTTCCTGAATTTGAACAATAAAAGAAGCATTTTGCCTGATTGACCAATTGCTGTCTATCCAAGGCAGGAATAGAAGTCACTGCGGGGTCCTGTTCCTTCAAGTTCTCAAGGTAGTTACCCAATATCTCCTCCAAGCCTGTCTGGAATTCGGTGAAGGACTCCCAATCATAGTTGAGATATTCTTTATACACTTCTTCTTGCGGATTAGACATACTCTTTAATGTAAGTAGAGATAATTAAAAAGAAGTAACTACGTAACTAATGATTTAAGCAGATAATTTTTTTTTTTTTTTTAGCTTTCGAATTTTCATGTTAACCATTTCACGATTGAAGAATAAACGAATACTTTGTATACTGCTCTTCCACTGGCGTAAACGATACTCGCTACTAGACGTTCACAATTTACTATACAGGATGCTAACTGCCACTCACTTATTTGTGGTTGCTGTAGCATTGCGAATCGGCTTCTTCTCGTTCGGTCTTTACCAAGATGCCTACTTGCCTGTGAAGTATACTGACATCGATTATCTCGTGTTTTCAGATGCTGCAGAGTACGTATCCAAAGGATTGTCACCATACTTGAGAGAAACTTACAGATACACGCCGCTCTTGGCGTGGATGTTGGTCCCGAACTCACAACCTTACCTCTACAGCTTTGGTAAGTTCGTCTTTATGATCAGTGATCTCATCACTGGTGTTGTGATATTGAAATTACTACAAAGACAACAACAACAAGGTGGTTTATCGGCCAGAAAAGCTCTAATCCTTTCCTCAATCTGGTTATTGAATCCAATGGTTATAACCATAAGCACACGAGGCTCGTCCGAAAGCGTTTTGACCGTGCTAATAATGCTTTCATTCTACTTCCTCAGGGTATCCAATTTGTTGTCTGCGGTGTTCCTTGGATTGGCTATTCACTTTAAGATTTACCCTATCATATACCTCCCTAGTATAATGCTTTTCTTAAGTAAAGAGAGTAAGCCTTTCATCAACGGTATACCAATAGTCAACTGGGTCAATTGGACAAACTTACGGTTCCTTCTAGTTACATTGATCACAGTTGCAGTATTGAACGGACTAATGTACTTGATCTATGGTTACGAATTCTTATTCCACTCATACTTGTATCATTTGACCAGAGTGGACCATAGACACAACTTTTCAGTGTACAACGTCGCCATGTATTTCCAATCTGCCCTTCCTCCGTCATCAAATAACTCCAACCAATATTCAGTATGGGGTTTACTCAGCGTGGTCATTGATAACCTTGAAAAGTTTGCATTTGTTCCACAGTTTGCTTTCTCCACTATCATTATCCCGCTTCTCTTTGCCAGGGAGGATTTATTATCATGTGTATTCTTCCAAACATTTGCGTTTGTCATTTTCAATAAAGTGATGACCTCCCAATATTTCATCTGGTTTTTGATCTTTTTACCGCATTACTTATCAAAGTCAAGGTTATTGTCAAATAGGAAGAACTGGCTCTTGGGAGGAACCACTCTTCTACTTTGGGTTGTGTCTCAAGCGTCCTGGCTATTTTTTGCGTATAAATTAGAATTTTTAGGCGAAAGTACCTTTAATTACGAATTGTTTACCGCTTCGTCATTCTTTTTCTTAACAAACTGCTGGATATTGGGTGTTTTCATGGAAAACATCTAGTGTTGAGCCAACTAGTATGTTGCAACCTACCAGGACCATGTTCCCGATTGGGAAAGAAAGAACGTCGTATATGCAGGACTCTCACTATTGAAGAGCGAAGAGCAAAAAGAAAATGAAAAATCCGATGCACAAGAAAGCACCACCCATACTTTAGCTTCCATAGCACGTCTGTATAAGTTCCTAAATATGTCACGTATGGAATTATACTCTCCTGAAGGGTTGAGAATCGATGGGAGAAGATGGAACGAGTTGCGTAAATTTGAGTGCCGTATAAACACGCACCCAAATTCGTCCGATGGTTCGTCCTTCATAGAACAGGGAAATACCAAAGTCATTTGTATGGTTCAAGGGCCAATGGAGCCGGTCTTGAGATCCCAACTGAACCCAAACCAAGCAAATATTGAAATAAGTATCACAATTGCCAATTTTTCCACCACAGAGAGGAAGAAGAGGTTGAAAAATGAGAAGAGATTAGTCGAGTTGAAGGCTACTTTGGAGAGAACCTTTGAGCAGAGTGTAATGTGTAAGTTGTATCCTAGAACTGTCATACAAGTAAACATCCATGTATTAGCGCAAGACGGTGGATTATTGGCAGGAATAACCAATGCAATTACCTTGGGGTTGATCGATGCTGGGATCGCCATGTATGACTATGTATCATCTATCAGTGCCGGGTTGTACGACACCACGCCTCTTTTGGACTTGAACACATTGGAGGAAAATGATATGAGCACGTTAACCATTGGAGTGATAGGAAAGAGTGAAAAATTGGCGTTATTGTTGTTGGAGGATAAGATGCCCTTGGACAGACTAGAGAGTGTGCTAGCCATAGGGATTGCAGGTGGCCATAGGATAAGAGATTTGATGGATGAAGAGGTGAGAAGGCATGGTAACCTAAGGTTATCGAAGGTGAATGTATAAGGACAAGTAGTTAGCATAATCATAGAATAAACAGAAGGCACGAACTGGTAGACGATTAATATGTAAGAAGGCATACTGACTTGCTATGGGTGGAATTGGAAGAAGAAGACTAGTGCAAGAGCACCCTACTTTACAATGGTTTGGCGTAAAAGACCATAACAGTTCAGTACAGTTCAGTATAGCACAGCACAGTACAGTTCAGTTCAGGCCAGGCCAGGTCAGGTCAGTTCAGTGAAAGAGAACAGCAGCGTAGTTAGGCATAGCGGGTAAGACCATAGCTGTTCAGTTCAGAGTGAGACCATAGTATAGTCTAGTTTAGCCTTAGTATACGCTGTTCAGTTCAAAGTGACACCATAGTATAGTCTAGTTTAGCTTAAGTATGCACCACTAAGTAACTAACCCAGTGAAAAACATGCAGCAGAAAAAAAATGAAAAATAAAAATTCAAATGCATGAGCATACCCCAGCTTATACTGATTTTTAACTTATTCTTATAAGCATATCTGCGCCAGTTTAGCACAAGAATGCACTCATCCAAAGCTCATCAGTGCAAGAAGGAGCCACCAACACCTTGAACCAGATTACAAAGGCCAACCAAAAAAAATAAAGAAGGAATTGACACGGACAGGAATCGAACCTGCAACCGTTCGATTTGGAATCGAAAACTCTACCATTGAGCCACCGCATCACCCTTGGGAGCCTTACTAGGGAATGCCCTCTGTTGGATGCGAGAAGTAATGAGAATCTTCACCAGATCGGTCTGTATGGTCAGTGTTCCTCAGCGCACGCACCACATCAAGTAATTTTTCAGCTGACATTTTTCAGCTGGTAATTTTCAGGTGATGTCAAACTGAAAAGTTCTTGAAACACTCCGACCACAAACAACACTGACATCTCCACCACTGGCACAATGCAAATCAGCAAGATACTAAGCAGCAACTAGCCACCAGCCACCAGCCACCAGCCACCAACATCACCTATCTCTTCCCATCACTCCCTTCCTGTCCCCCTAGTGCACCACCTCCCACCTGCATACTCTCCCTCCGTTCCTACAGTAACTGCCCTTTTGGAACATTTTTATTTTTCCTTCAACTTTTTCCCTTTTTCGCTCACCGCACTCACCCTTTTCTTGTTAGCGTGTCAGGATCTCTCCACAAACAAAAGCTTAAATTGACTGAGTTAGCTAGTGGATTGTTGTCACTTTTTTTTTCGGTTACAGACGATTCCAGCAAACTCAATATATTCGTTTTTTTTCTCCCTTTAGTGCCCCCCCATTGACTTCGCTAAGCCACATAACTAACAAACAAACACAGATCATCATGTCGTATCGTGGACCTAATCAGTTTAATGCCCAGTTCAGAGGGAACCAGCCGCCAGTAGGTGGCCCCAGCTCGAGCGCTGGAGGTGCAGTGCCTACCAACATTGGCCCTATATCTTCATCCAAGTCACCATTGGAACAGTTTGAAGAAATTTCTAAAACAGTAGAAGACTTGATTGACGAACATTCAAGACCGATCAAGCCCTACGTTCCAGCCATCGGTAGAGCGTTCATTGTTGCTACATTTTATGAAGATTCGCTCAGAATCATTTCCCAATGGTCGGAGCAAGTGTACTACTTGTACAACTATAGACATATCTGGCGTTGGTTGACGGTCACTTTTCTCTTCTTGAACGTTATCACCATGTTGGTTGCTTCCACATTGATGGTTTTGAGGAAGAAGAACGAATTGGCTACCTCTGCCTTAGTTTCCGTTGTTTTGTTACAAGGGTTCTTCTATGGATTGATATTCGATGGCCAGTTCATCTTGAGAAACTTGTCAGTTGTTGGAGGATTGATTTTGGCATTCTCTGACTCTTTGGTTAGGGATAAGCGTTCTTTGTCCATGCCTGGATTACCCATGCTCAACAACCAAGATAATAAGAAGTACTTCTTACTTGCAGGAAGGTTGTTGTTGGTGTTTTTGTTCTTAGGGTTTGTATTCTCTGCTAATTTGTCGTTCTTCAGATTCATCGTCATTTTAATTGGTACCGCTTCATGTGGATCCATTATTGTTGGATACAAGACCAAGTTCGCCGCTTTTGTCTTGACGGTGTTATTGTTCACTTATAACCTTTTCGCCAATCAATTCTGGAAGTACTCTGCTCAAGACTCCAATAGGGACTTTTTGAAGTATGAGTTTTTCCAAACTTTATCGATTGTGGGAGGTTTGTTAATCATTGTTAACGCTGGTGCCGGTGAGTTATCATTCGATGAAAAGAAGAAGATTTACTAAGGTAGCAGGTGGAGTACACGAGGAGGAGCATAGAGTGAAAAGAAGAGAGGTGAAGAGAAGTGAAGAGAAGTGAAGAATTAAAGAAGTGAATGAAAGAAGAGAATAAAAGAAGAGAAGAGAAGTGAATAAGAGCAGGAGCAGGTGAAGAAGAACAAGAGAAGTATAAAGGAAGAGAAGAGAAGAGAAGAGAATAGAGAAAGAGAAGAGTAAAAGAAGAGTAAGAGAAGAGAACAGACCAGAAGGAAGAGAGGATGAGAAGTGAAGAGAAGGCAAGTACATGAGGATGGAAAATGATAGTAAATTGAACTCATTTACCGACGTTCGTATTCCTTTACCAGCTTCCCTACATTGCTTCTCTTCTATGCTTTTCTTCCATGCTTCTTTTCCATGGTTCTTTCCATGGTTCTTTCCACGCTCCTTTCCATGCTTTTCTTCCATGCTCTTTTCCATGCTCATTTCCTTGCTTCCCCAAAAGAGTATCATTAAATAAGTAAATAACACGAATAGACAAATCGATATTTCGTATTCTTCCTTACTGTGTATTAACTTGTAGGTCCATAAAGCTCTGCGTACCAGTGGACCACTTAACATTACTTCAAAACACACATATATCCGAACTGCCTCCGCATATAAACAGTGAGCAATATGCTGTACTATTGTCTGCCTCTGCTTCGCCATCCTCGCCCCCACCTTACCCTATCACCTTCTTGTACCTTGATGCTCCATGTTGCACCCAGGTCATCATACCTGCTTATGTGCAGGATTCTCAAACTTCAAATCAAAGCGTCTTGAATTGTAAGCAGAATGAAAAACAGGAAACAACCATCCTCAAGCACAAATAGAACTACAACGGTAGCTGGCAGTGCTGTTTTTATACTCGTTGCCGCGTACTTGCATCCATAGCTGTTTCAAAATGTCAGAAGAAAAATGTCCTGTAGATCATTCAACCAGGGAGGCCTGGATTAAGCAAAATGAAAAATCGAAGGCTGCTACTGCACAAACTCCAGACGCTTGCCCCGTTGATCACAGTAACCGTTCTACTTGGTTGAAGAAGATTTCTAGTGCACCCGAGGCAATAGAAGTCCCCGCTGCTGCTCCAGGATCAGAAACATGTTCTTCAGACAAATTGTCGAACAAGCTCGAAGACTCGATTGCATCGTCTTCCTCTTCCAATCTTTCCAAAGAGAGAGAGATATCGTCTATTCCTAGAACGAACTCTGAGTCCAATTGGATATACCCATCGCAAAAGCAGTTCTTTGATGCCATGAAGAGGAAGAACTGGAACCCAGATGAAGATGACATGCATACTGTCGTCCCCATCCACAACGCCGTGAACGAGAAGGCATGGCTGCACATAATAATGTGGGAGCGTGCTTACTACGAGGATGCCATGAAGCAGTGTGGAGGGATCAAGTTGACCAGCTTCAAGGGAGATCTGAAGAAGTTGACACCGAGAGCATGGCTCAACTCCACGTTCTTCGGGTACGAGAAGCCCTTCGACAGGCACGACTGGACCGTTGACAGGTGCGGAGTCGAGGTGCCCTATGTGATCGATTTCTACGGGGGGAATGGTCCAGGAGCCAGCTTCTTCTTGGATGTGAGACCAAAGATTAACTCGTGGGAAGGTTTCAAGTTAAGGATGGGTAGAGCCATGGGGTTATGCTGAGCAGTCGTTGTGCCGGTACATCAGCTTCTACAATTGCCAGGACTGCCACAGCAGCACACACATCAGCAAACACACACACACACACACACACACACACACACACACACACACTCACACTCACACACACTCACACAGCAGCAGCAACACACTCACACACTGTACATAGTCATAGCTGAACGCAACGGAACGATACACTACAAGCTCACAGCGCAACACTACAACAAAAAATTACACTGCACTTCCACATGCAACACACCGCTTACATTGTTCCCAAGGAGGTCTCCCCAGTACCACACCGGTTCCTCCTCTCAGGTATCTTCAAAAATATTTCTATTCCATTAATTTTTCATTATATATATATGTACAAAATAATAAAGGGCACATCGATCTCCTCTATCTACCCATGAATTGTCCGCTTTGACCCATTTTTTGCATGTTGTCACCAACCTGGACGTTGGTCTCAAAGTACTTGGAAACACATCTATCTAAACATAATGCTTCCTGCTTGGTGACATCGGATTCATTGTAGGTCTTGTTAATACATTTTTGGTGACATTGCTCAACCAAGGAGTTGAACATGCCAGTAACCATGTCTAACTCAGCTTCAGCAGCTTGTAATTTTTGCTGCGAAGAAATTTGTGGAGCTGAACCGCCTAATCCGAACATCTTAATATTATTATTCTAGTTGTTTTATCTAAGAAGAGTACCTTCTGTTCTTTCAGTAATTTGCACTTGTCTTGCCTTCTGAATTTTCGACAGTTGCTGAAAAAAAATTGAAAAAAAAAAAAAAAAAAAAAAATGCTAGAGATTTCGTTACACAAAAGCCCCACACTAGCTCAGCAGGTAGTATGGTGTAGAGGAGAGGCACGGGAAAGGAAGAGGCACGGGAAAGGGGAGAGGAACGGGAAAGGGGAGAGGAACGGGAAAGGGAGAGGTTACGGCGTAGAGGAGATGTCATGGGATCAGTTACATGTACTGTGTCTTATACTACAACACATCGTTTTGAAGGAGTTCAGCCAGGTTCTGCAGTCCGCTTGTTGTCCGTCGCCTACTCTACGTTCCACCATTTTGCACCCATTAATGCATATCACATATATTGCACTCTATAGTCCGGGGAATGTCCACGAGAAGTATCCTCCCCATAGAAGGTTACTGGTAGGATAGCTGCCTTTCAACTTTTCAAAATCCTCTTTCTTTTCTGGCACTGGAATCATTAACCCATGCCCAATGGTGATTGTCTTGCCAACTATCGTAAAACTTCCTCCCAAATTACAAATCCTTGCATTGATCCAGCTCGGGTTTCGAAGTATCTTGTCCATGAACTTCTCATTCATAACATGGTTGATGTTATAGTAGTATCTTAAGAACCTCCATGTTTGTGTCTGAAGGTTCAATACCATGATCCTGGATACGAAGTAATTTTTGCTGGCAAACTGGAATCTCGACAACCTCAGTACGTCGAACTTATCACTCTCGTACGGCTTGTCCTTGTTGTCAAACTTCCTTAAATAATCATTGTTAAGTCCTCCTAAAAAGAATAGATAGTCTCGTCCTTCATTCTGATAATATAGGGCATGATGGTGACACGACCTTAATTCGGCCTCAACGAGTTCTGATTCATCTTTAGCATTTTCCTGGGTTAGTTTGCTGATATCTTCATCTTCATGTGGTTGCAATGGATAGTCAAAGTAATTATAAGCGTACGTTGACATAGTTTGCCATTTCCCAGTTTCAAACACATACAAATAAAAGTCGCTAAACGTTTCATATTCTTCATTGCATCCACCTTGAATGAGGAGAGCTTTCCCTTTGAAATAAGACTCCGACGCTCTCAGGACCTTTTTCGAACCTGCGGTAATCAGCGTTTTCTTCTGAGGTTCACTTGCACTCGTTTCCAACCCTCCTAGTGATGATACCGATGACGATGAAGAGGAGGAAGACAGTGATCTACCAGGTTTAATGGAAAATCTTTCTCCTTCATCTCCATAATCGTAGACTGCAGTGTCACTCTGGCCACTTTTACTACGGAACAAATTTATTTGACAGTTGTCTGCAATGGTGGAGTTCACATTGATAATAGCACTAGCGAAGTATCCCCTAGGACTTGGCCATAAATCTCCATGTACAAAGTTTCCTTCTTCTGCATGCTTTCCCATTTCATATAGAATTGCCAGATCTTTGAAGTCAACAAAATCATCGTACAATCTTTTAACTGTCAACAGAACTTTAAATAAATCATCCGTTGCAAGAAACCTGGACACATATTTCAGATCAAGGTTATCAGAGACAAATCCCCCAAAAATAAATACTGATATGGTTTCGAAATCGTAGGACTTTTCACTCTCGCTTTCATCATAAATGTTTTTAATAGCAGGATGTTTTACTGGGCCAACTACAGGACTGAATGTCAAGTACTCTTCAGCTTTTGTGGAAGATTTTTTGTTAGCCTTTGGTGACACCTTATTAGATTCGTACTCTTTCCTAGGATTTGAACTTTGTACCTGTGATGTTTCTGTGATAAGTCTTGAAGTAAATGGCTTTGCATGTGCATTTGGCAGTAAAGGCAGGGCTATAGGCGATGTGGGCCTACTTCCTCCACTACTTTGATTTGAATTTGATCTATGTTGCTTGACCTGATTTGAGTATGTACTCGAAAGATTAAAATTACTGCCTTGGGTAGCTGATGAGTTTGAACTTGATGATGTGTTAGTGTTTGAAGCATTAGGAGGAGGCATATTTGATTGATGCGCTGATGTTACAGTTTGAGATTGTTGTTGCAGCTGCAGTTGCAGTTGCTGATGTTGTTGCTGCTGTTGATGTACAGTTTGTTGTTGAGGGTTGGAAGAAGCACTCCTTTGATGATTTCTATGAAAAAGTTTTGAAGACATCAGTAACACGCTCCCAATGTTCTTAGACAAGGTCGGAGACAGATGAGCAGGAGCTGAATTTTTACTTCTGCTCAGATTCGTTGACCTCAGTGAAGACCCTGTATCATATTTAGATAAGCTGGGAGTCTTCGTCAAAATACTTTGGTTACTAGGTAACGAAAGAGGAGTGGGAGGTTCGCTTTTGGTTGCAGTATACAGTTCTGAGGCAATATGGTGCAAATGAGGCTTTCTTGGCTGTGGTTGCTCGACAAAGGAAGAAGTGGTAGATTTCTCTTCATAGTATGTGGATGGGGTCCTCGCAGCTGAAGCAGTAACAGAAGAAATTGAATCCGTAACAGACCCCGAAACGGGCAACTTTATAAAGTTGGGAGCTGCCTTAGGTGTTGACCTAGAAGGTACATTGTTTAGGTTCAAGTTCGACGCACTCGAATGATGACTACTTCCATCATTGAATATAGGAGAGTTGTTAGAACCTTCTCCGCTAGCTCTATCGCTAAATGCATCATCGTTGTCTCCACCTGACATAGCCAAAAGATCCTTCCATTCGTCGTGTGAACTTGCCGCAATAGCATGGCCAATTCTTCCTCGAACAACACACCCATCGCTAGACTCTAAAGTAATCTTTTGGAAAGTCAAGTCAAAAATATCTAGTATGTATCCATCAGTATTGAGGACCAACCTCTTTTCAATTATCCATCTATTGCTATCTGGTAGATACTCACTAGATATATTTTCGACCAGAAATCCTCCATAGTAGAAAATTTGTCTCTTAGATATTTTAACTGAGGACATCAGACAAAACTTAGGAAGTCGCAGACCAGTGAAACTATCCAAAAGTGTGATGGTACCAGTTTGAGGTTTAATGCGATAAAAGTGAGGATTCATAATCATATATGGGTTCATTATAATCTCTCTATCGATATGTGGAGGCAATTCGCAGGGGAAATGAACAGAAATGTTTTCCGGTTCAACATCACAGGAAATTCCTAGGGACTGGAAATCGACATTTGGATCCGTATACAACCCACCGAAGACAAAACTTCCAATGGGAGAATTGTGAAAACAATGGTAAACTACTGTTGGGAGAATTTTCATAGAAAACTCTGGCAATAGGTGTGTATCTTCTTTATTCTTTTCTTCTTCTTTCTCTTTCCCTCCAGTCTGAGCAGTGTTATCCCATTCCAGTCTTAGAGCAATGTTAGGAGGTTCAGGTGCATTCATAGTAGCTTTAGGGATAGAATAATATCCTTGAAACCCTTGAGCTTCTTCATTTTTACCAAAGATCTCAAAGTCTTTCTGCTTCACTGCCTCGTCGAGTTTGCTCTCGGTAGATGAATTGCTCTCTGGAAACCCTGATACATGGTCTTTATTCTTAAGCAATTCTTTCTTCAACCTATCTCTCTTGATATTTTCGTATTGTATATATTCCACAGGCTCAAGGGACAACATAGGATCAAAATTTTGTCGAGCTAAAGAATCACTTAAAGTATTCGCTTTACTGCTATCACTGATAGGTTTATACTTCAATACTGTATGGGGCAAGGGGAAGCCATGCTGCCAAAACTTGGACTGATTGGAAGCCTTGAAGAGCTTATCATTGCTCTGTAGAATATCTGTAGATGACTGTCTCACTACAGAGGGTCTTCTTGAAGGGGTGCTGTCGGGTATGCTGGGCTTTCTTGCAATAGGCACAGTCCTTGTGGATAGGCTAGTTGCTGATTTGAAGACATAAGATTCTTTCTCAGCTTCAGAAGTACCACTGCTAGAACCCAAACTCGAGGAGCTTAACACTTCAATATGGTGCTCTTTGTCCATCAATGTCGAGTTGAACTAAATTGGTCTATAGATGCTAGCTGCGCCAACTAAAATTAACTGAATGCTAGCTGTAAATTATCCGTACTTCTGGCTCCAAGGACAGGGCAGTATACTCAATTATTTTAATAATTTTTCTTTCTTCCTAGAACTTTTTCTGGCTACAATTACTACTAACACAGAGTGCGATAGAATTCCAACTATACAATTACGAAGAAAGATAATACTACTATATTATCCAGTCACACAATTGGGTACCAATTATTTTTTAACCTTTCCTGTTCACATTTTTCAATTGCTTAAATTTGCGAGATTTTCCATGTGGAGAAATCGAAAACCTCGAGATGAAGAAAAACCGTTAGAATCTAACTAGAGCCCTAAAAGGTAAGAGAATGCTGGAATGAATATGACAATATTGCGATCCACCCCCTGATCTACAGGTAAGTTGTACCTACATATGAAAATGATATTCTATACAATTCTAATAAAAATATTCCATTTCTTATACTGACCTTTTATCTTGATAGCCAAGCTGCAAGCGTACATGATTACGTAATGCGATAGCAGCCTACCTAAATATTGGGGCTCAACACATCTGCCTTGACTAAAATGAATCTTTATTGGTAGCTAGTAAACTAGTTAGGAAAGATAAGGGAAAGCGTTGGCTAAAAAATAGATGTACTCATCTCTAATATTAGTATACTTACGTCTTGAGTAGAAACTTTGACTAAATATTGGGGCTCAACATATCTGCCTTGACTAAGGCATGAATCTAGAATGGATAGTTAGTAAACCAGTTAATAGTGATAAGAGAAAAAAATAAATAGAAAACTAATGTAGTCATCTCTAATAGTAATATACTCACGTCTTGAATAGAAGCATTGATGAACAGTCTAACTTCAAGAGCCAACCACACCTTGACCATGCTTAGAGAATTCTCATTTTTGAGAATCTCTCTACCCTCTTTCAGGACACCAAGTCTTCTGAGTACTGGTAACGAACTAAATACATGTGTTAGTAAAAAAATATATATACATGAAGCGAGCACGAAAAGGATATCACAACAGAGCATTATTATTCCCTTTGGTTTTTTTATCCTCATGTTTTCGCTTTCTAGACTTCACTTGACTCAGCCAATCTCTATAAATTCTATACTCTACGGTAGCTGGTATCAAACGAAAATAAAACTCAAGTCTGCTTCAGTTGGAAATCCAAAGAGAAAAGCATATACGAACCTTGCAAATAAATCTAACTCGGGATCAAGTTGTCTTCCAATTCCTTCCAACAATAAAATTGCAACAATGACGGTAATAAAGTCTCCTTCCATTCTAACATGGTGGTTTCTAACCATTCCAAGCACCTGATCTAACAAATCTCCTATACTGATGTTCCCCAAAGTAAATGTTCTCTCCTTCATACGGTCAACCAATTTTTCAACTTTCAAAGCAAAGATTTCCTTGTTAATTGCAGTTTCAGGCGTCCTTGATCTTTCAATCATTAATTCTCCTGCCTTGTAACCATCAAACTCACTCAAAGATTTGAAAAGATCGATGAAATTCACTCTGTCAGTGTGATTCAATTCTGTTATCAATCCTACGTCAAGAAAGCATATTTCTGCGTGATAACCTTCTTCGTAAAGTTGAGATAATCTTTTACACCAAGCGTCGTTGTCATCCCCAAGATCTAATAATTCGTTCGTTATCTTATTGATATCCTTCTCGTTACTAGATTTAACAATTTTATATTCCTTTTCATGCTTATAATGTTCATTTTTATAGAATCTGACCATCATGTTACCAGGATGTAAATCTGCATGAACGAAATTGTCCAAAATAAGCATTTTCAAGAAGGCATCTAAACCTTTATCAGAAACTTCCTTGGAAAGATTCTTACCATAATTTGCATCTAAAGATAACAATTTGCTCATCGGAATGGCATGCATAAACTCTTCAACTAACACCTCTCTTGTGGTAAAATTGATATACGGCTTGGGGAAATGGATGTCTAATCTGTTCTTAAAATTCTCCCTAAATTTGGCCAAGTTTAAACTTTCGATTCTGAGATCCAATTGTAACCTCATAAGCATGGAAAATTGTTCGACTTCATCTGGCAACGAAAGCCACTCCATTGTGGGGATCAAATTGATTGTCGAAGCAAAGAAACTCATAATACGAAGATCTCTATTGATTTTTACTTCGACTTTAGGGTGCAAAACCTTGATAGCTACGTATTGATTCGATGTCAATGGATTGGAGTGTTCAGTAACCATGATCTTATCTAGTAACTGCTGAGCCGGGTCATCGTCAATTTTAGACGATGACTTTAACACTTTATTTTCCAAGTCCCCTTTCTTTTCATAATTCTGCAATACTTTGTTAGATAGCTTGGCAATGTACACTTGCGCAATGGCCCCAACCCCTAAAGGCTTCTCGTTAAACTCTTCGAATATTTCTTCGAAGGGCATTCCAAAACTTCTGGAAACAATTCTTTTCGTTTCACTTAACAGATGTTTCTTTGCATTCGAATGTAAGTTGCCCAATTCATCACACATCTCTTTAGGAAATATGTCTGTTCTAGAAGCTGCCCATTGGCCCAACTTAATGAAAGAAGCGCCAGCGGATTCAGCAGACCATCTCAAGTACTTGAACCAAATCTTAGCTCCTCCTCTTATATTAGTCTTCTTATCCTTCTTACCAAACCAACATATTGGTGCTATAAATAATACAGGCAAGAAAATGAGTGAAAGCTCAAGAAATCTGCAAAAGGTAATACTCGGATCTAAAAGATAGTCATACATTGCAAACTTGATTCTGTAGTATAATTTCTTCAAGAAAAACCCCTTTTGAAGCTTATAGCGTCTATACTCTCTTTGCTGATCAACCTCTTCATTTTGAGATGCCTCATACAACCCCATTTCAAAAGTTTCTGCTCCAGGTGTAGGCTGAAGCTCATGAATACTGGCATCGATTGCTCGATGAGGAACATCTACAGCAATGTCATTAAGAATTATATTTTTATAATTGTAGTAGATTACACTTGAAGAGATTCCAAATCCACCAACAGCGAATAATATGCCACCAAAATTGGCCCTTTTGGGTGTCGAATATGAAGTACTAAGTTCTCTTCTGATCAACAGAAGTCTGGAGAAGATAGGTTGTTTCCTGCATGTGTTCGTGAACATCCTGGAGCCGGGATAAGACCCTCTCAAAGACCTCAAGCTGTTCGCCGGTATCATACAAATGAAAGCTTATATAGAGAAATGAACGAATGTCAATAAATAACCACGATCTGCCTTTCGTTTACCTAGGTTATGTTGAATAACAATGGTAGAGTAGCAAGTTCCGAGAACAGCAACAGTAGAGAGAATTAGCCTTTATTCCGAGTACTGCATATAATTCTGCTCTGCATTGCTGCAAACGCAGTTCACAGGCGAATATACGAGACTGCACCAATGAGTATGCTTGGAAGGTACGTTTAATTATGCCATGATTTGTATATTTTCTAAAGTAAATGTATATATAATAACTCACAGAAGTTCACCATTGGTGGTTTCCATCAAGTGACGTCTCAAAATAGATGCCCATAACAAAATCGTAGCTGTTCCCTTAGGATTTGTTCTAGGACCTCTTCTAGCAACAATCCCGTCATGGGCATTCCAGGCATCGATATAGACAGGAACTTTAATCCAATCAAGGGTGTTCAAAGATTTAATTATGTATTTTCGATTCTCATCCATTTTCAACTTAGTTTGTGGGGTAAACAATGGGAACTTACTCAAATCTTTCCCATGTAGCTTTTCCAAGTGATTTCCAATGATCTCATCGTTAGCTTCTATGTTCACATCTATAATCTTTTCCTTGACGCTCGAAGTTATACTGCCAAGGAAAGACTTAGTTTCTGGCGAAGAGTCTTCCACTTCATGTCCTTCTACTCTGTCTTCATCTTCGTTCTCATCTTCTTCTTCAATATCATCGTGGTCAAATTTAGTAGTTTCACCAGAATGTCCGCCCTCATCTTGCTCCACGATTTTAGGGGATCTACCAGTTAATCTTTCCTCTGCATAAATGAAATTCGTCATTGCACTTTCAGTAAAGTCAGACGTATCACCCTTAAATGATTCTGCATGCCTTAATTTTCTCCTCTGATCTCTATTCTTTTGCCCAATTTTGGCATCTTCTACGTCAATGGGCCCCAATTCTCCATATACAGAATTGTAGACTCTTTCCCAGTGTGATTTCACTTCTGGGTGTTTAACTACCAACACTTTAACCGCACTATAAGCACTGGCAAATGCAGTACTACACAACACGAATGGGATCCAAATGGGCAAAATCAAAAGCGTAACAACGAAGATTAAAGTAAATCTAATAACTTTGTTTCTTCTTAACCAGGAAGTCTCTTCCTGAATGTTCTCAAATTCATTGCCGGTGGCTTCCAAAACGTGAGATCTTTCGAAATCAACAAACTTCGGGCGTACTTCAATCTTCCCAATTTTAACAGTAGGTAAACTTTTCAAATATTTGATTTTCACCTTATCCCACTCTTCAAAGGGAGAATATTCGCTTAAATATGATGTGAAAAAGGCCACTGTTCTATCATTTTTAATGTTCGCCAAGAGAACATGTTTCTCAAATTTGGCCAACCCTTTAAACCAGGTACCGTCTGGTTCAACCATTTTCACCAAAATCTTATCATCATCTTCGATAAACATCTGCTTCCCGGTCTTCCCAAACAAGTAATGTCCAACTCGGTTGGAAATCTTATCAAAAATGGTACCGTTGAAAAAATGGATCCCCACATGAGGAGTAGCAAAAGTGGTGAAAAAGACAGGTTTCACTTCGTCAAAAAACCCAATGTCATTCAACATACCAATAGCATACCTGGAGATTAATCCACCAAGGGAATATCCTACAAAACTGATCTTGGTAACCTTCGAATTTTGCTTCTGCCTTATCAATTCGATCTCGTACAACACATCGGAAATCACCCTTTCAGCGTTCAATCGCAACCCGTCGTAAGTTTTCCAAAATCTAAACGAAGACGGCCTAATTGTGGCAATTCTCTCATCACTACCACCACTTTGATGTCCTATCACTTCATGGATTGACTTCTCTATCGTGAGCATGTGATTTGGCCCTCCCCAGAGACCATGGACCAACACAAACAAGTGAGTATCACGACCAGGCGCCAGTTTGGCTACCATTTTAGTATCAGCTTCAAGTGGCATTCCAGAATGAACTTGTCTACAAGAAAAAACCGAACTAAATATCTGGAAATAAAACACGTATGTGGCTTTATATAACCTACCAACCTCTGACCAACTCTATTTTGTTTTTCTGTCCTTTTTGGATTGGGTTTTTTTTTCCGATTTGGTTTGTGCCCAGGCTGCCACAAGTTTAAAGTTCCTCGCTTCCGATAAAGAATAGGGTGATAAATGGATAAGCCCCGATGTGACAGGAGATGTGTGGGACTTGATAGGAATTTGATAGGAGATGGAGAGAAGATAGAGAGGAAATGGTGAGGAGATAGAGAAGAGGAAAAATACGACAAACTGTGGGGCTAATAGTAGTGGGCTCAATGGGAAGTAGGGCGCTAATTGATTGTATCCTCCTTTGCTGACACCTCGGTCCTGATTAGGTGTTGAATTTCTTTATCTGCATTACCATCGATGCGCAGGCGAGGCATTGAAACTGGTGTCTCCCAGGCAGCAATCCGGGTTATGTACAGGCACGATGTATCTGGGTCGGGAATCTACGTGCAGGCACAATAGCAGCGTCAGCGATTATGTGCAGTTTGAACAATCCTGACTTGTTTAGATTATGTGCAGGCGTGAGCTTGTTGGTTTGGATTTGGTTTGGATGAGAAGAAAAAATGAAGTGAACAATCCAGAGAGCGCCCACCATACCACCTACACCTACAGAACACTACAATACTACCGCCATGGCCTTATTTGGAGCTCCGTCTACTTCCACTGCGTCGTCAGTGAACTCAGTTCAATCACAGCAATTGAAGCAGCAAATTCAAGATCAAATTTCCCAAGAGTTGGCTGTTGCTAATGCCACTGAGTTGGTTAACAAAATCACAGAAAACTGCTTTGACAAGTGTATAACCAACCCGCAAATCCTGTTGAACCCTCAAGAAGATGGATGCGTCAACCAATGTTTGGAGAAATACATGAGGTCATGGAACGTTATTTCCAAGAGCTACATCACCAGAATCCAGCAATCCAACCAATAGAGATGATGGAGGAAGCAGTGGAGCGTAGCAGCGAATCAGCAACATAGTGAGAGAGAGAGAGAGAGTGTGTGTGTAGAAGTGAGAGCGCGAGAGCGCAAGAGCGTTAAATAGAAATCTTCAGTAGTGAGAGTGAAAGCGAGCCACTTTTCCGTACTGCTCACTACAGCAAGACTCATTTTTCTTTCCTCTTTCCTCTTTCCTCTTTTCCCCTCATTTCTCTTATATATGGTTCGGTATTTATATGTATATAGAATGAACAAGCAATGCAAATAGAGAATCTTTCACAACTCTCAATGTAGTCCCCGTTATTGGAACCTTCTTCCACCACACTAGCGCCCCTCTCACTCCGCTAGTGTAGCTCATCATTTATGTGCAGTCCCAAAGTCGTGCGAGCGCATCCTTTTTCTTGAGATTTTCTTTCTTTAGTGGCAACAGAAATCCTCCAGTGGTGGAGGTCCAACAATCACGGTGGTACGAGCTAAGACATTAATAACGCAGAACTTCGCACATATATCAGCAATTGTTGGATCCTTTTTCATTTCAAATCACACAACACATATACAGGACCCATAATGAACTCAACTGTTGCTTCTGAATACTCGTCCGAGGTTCACTCCACTCCAATTGAACACAGATTCAACCCATACAGTGACAATGGTGGTACAGTATTGGGAATTGCCGGTGAAGATTTCGCCGTCTTGGCCGGTGATACAAGACAGGTTGTCGGCTACTCCATTAACTCGCGTTACGAACCAAAAATCTTCAACGTGGGTGACGATATAGTCATGACTGCCAACGGGTTTGCAGCAGATGGGGCAGCATTGATAGATAAATTCAAGAACCAGTTAAAATGGTACAAGTTCGATCACAATGGCAAAAAATTGAGCATTAAGCTGGCCGCCAGATACATTCAGCATTTATTGTATGGGAAGAGATTTTTCCCTTATTACGTAAGTACCTTGATTGCCGGGTTAGATGAAGAAGGTAAGGGAGCTGTGTACTCCTACGATCCAGTTGGATCTTACGAAAAGGAACAGTGTAGAGCCGGTGGTGCAGCTGCCAGTTTAATTATGCCCTTTTTGGACAATCAAGTGAATTTTAAGAATCAGTATGTGCCAGGCACCGACGGAAAGGAAAAGAGACCATTGAGATACTTGTCTTTAGACGAGGTTTTACAATTGGTGAAAGATGCATTTTCCTCGGCCACTGAAAGACATATTCAAGTTGGTGATGGGTTGGAGATCTTTATAGTGACAAAGGAGGGTGTCAGAGTTGAGTACTACCCATTAAAGAGGGATTAGATGAAGAGACTAAACTAAAATGGCAAATAGAAAGTAAATAAACAAAAAAAAAAAAAAAACAGAATAAAGAATAAAGAATAAAGGATATCAAGTAATAGAGCGTGAGAAAAGCTAAGTTTAGCAAAAGAACGAGAGAATGAAAGAAAGAAAATGAAAGCTTGAGAAATGCGTAGGCTACAGGTGTAGATCGTGGTTGTATGTGATCTTCTGACATACTTAATACTCAAATTCGTACTGATAAAGTTGTTGAATTGTATATTTTCTACTTTTTATTCCTTGTTTTTCTTTATTCAAAATCTTCATTGCATCGTCTATACAGGCAAACTAAACTTCTTCCCCTTCATGACCTTAGTGTAATAAATATAAAAGAAATCGGAGTAGATTAACGTCTGAACAACCCCCGCGAAAAACGAAATCTTTTCGAACCTTCCCTCGGTGAAGTACCTGTAAGCCCAGTTGGGGATGTACAAGGCTCTGTAGGCACCTAAAGCGGCAATGTAGTGGACAGTAATGTTCTCTGCTTCACCGGTTCTCTGCAACATAAAGAGTTGAGGTAAAATGGCCACAGACTCGAGCCAAATGGAGAAAGACCACAAGACTTCACCCGGTGTGTACTTGTTGGTGAAAATTAATGCGAAGATGAATGCACCACCGGTCAAGTAACGGATTGGGAAGGTATCAATGTCTTCCTTAATTGACTTCTGATACTTCTTGGTCATGATGTATACAACGTATACGGACGAAGCAATGAAAAATATCTTCATCAAAGTATTGTATAACGAATGGTAACTTGTGAAAAGATCCAAGTATCTGGTACAGAAAACAATCACATAGAGAGACTGGGTCTTCAACGAAAGGCCCTGTATGGATTTATTGGTCTCGATGGAATATATAAGTATAAGAATACTTGCTAGGTGCGAGAGATCTGCAAGAAAACGGAAAATGTTCATGTTACCCAATTATCTGTTCGAAAGTGATACGGTCCTGGCAATAGAAAGTAGACCATTAGCTAAGGCTGTTTTTTTTTTTGTAGTGTTTTATTTTTTTGTGTACGTGTAAAGTCAACGCAAGTGGAAAACAAGGTGAAACTCATGTATGTGTCCTGCATGGAGTGGTAAGACTACCCAATGGTGTACACATGGAAAGAGTCTATCTATGTATATAGTTCAACTGGGTCCAGTTACAACTATATGTCAAGCCGAATCCTATATACATTCAAGATAGTTTATACGTATCAAGCCAGATGCTGTATAACATTGTAATTGTTTTATATAAGCGCTGCATACAACGCAATAATCTATATGTGTCAAGCTACTGCACATATACAGTTCTATATATGCCAAACCAAAATGCTGCATACAATTCTGTACATGTCAAAAATGCTGCATACTACACCAATCATCTAAACGTCACTAAAGTTCATCTCTAGAGTTCATCTCCATACATCAACTCTTCGTACTCCTCTTCGAGCGATAAATCCTCGGCGGAATTGCCCTTTGGCACAACCTGCATACCCCAACCCTGTGGTATCTCATACTTTTCTGCGCTGTTGGCAGCTGCGTCTTGTAAGGCTTCCAAACTGGCATATTTTTTCACACCCTCTTCGAGTGCTCCAGTGATGAAAGTCAAACATTGGTCTCGTGTTAGCTTATCATTGGTAGCGAAGTTCTGGGAATTGGTCTGGAATGTGCTTATGGCGCCGGTTTTGGTATCGATCTTGACAATAGATGGGAAATTGGCCACTCTTAAGTACCTCTGCAATGCAGTTGTGTTGGAGTGCTCAGCGTTAACGAATGCAAATTCAACCTGCGGAAACTGCTGTGGGAACTTCTGGAAGAAATGCTGCGGGTAGTGCGAATTTTCCCAGGCCCTGGTAAAGGAAGCTGCAAATACAATCACTTTGGCCAGGGTAGATGATGATGAGGAGGAGGAAGAAGAAGAGGAAGAAGCACCATTGATGAAATCTTCGTAGTTCTCATCGTCCAATTTCTTTATGGGCGATTCGAAGTTGCTGTAGTCAGGCTCTGTACCAGTATAATGGCTTATAAATTCTACGATCAGCTGGACAGTTCTCTCGGCGTCAAAAGTGAAAATCTCCTTAGTCTCAAAATTCACTATTTTCAAAGTAGGGTAGTGAGTTATACCAAACAATTGAATGAGTCTCTTGTTTTTCTTCCCGTTAGATTTCAATACCTGGAAACTGTCCAGACCATTCCCACCATTGTAAAGCTGGGCGATATAGCCAAAATCCGGATTAAATCTATCACAGTACCCACAAGTATCAGAATAAAAATAGATAAGCAGGTATTTTTTATTATTCAAAACGTTTTCAAGATCATTGTCGTTAATGTGCAATTCCACATCATCGCTTCTCCTGCCGATCTGTTTACTCCCACTTGAGAACCAATTTAATCCGTCAAACAAGCACAACGCAGATGAGATTAAGCTGAGTGCGCCCCATAAAAAAAGCAAGGCTCTCATGTAGTCAACTGGTTCTCAAAGAAGTTCTATTTTTATCACTAATGTTTACACACTGTCACTCCCAGGTCAGTACCTTCACCAGCTGGTTACCTTTTATTTTTAAATTTCTTGAGTCCTTGCGTCTTTTTGGCTTCTGCACAGATCAAAAAGATAAAAAAATTTCACTTCTTGACAAATGAGAAAGATCCCGCGGGAATCATGTCCTGCACACAGCCGATCCCAATGCGGTTCCCGACCGATGCTGGCATGGCTCCAAGAAATGGCTGGTTTGCAACTAGGAGGAGACGGTGAAAGGTGTACGCCTACCTTGGCTTATTTCTCTGGGGCTGAATGCAACCACTTTATGCTGCAGCAACGTACTTCCAGACGCTGGTCCTTGGGCTCAAAAGAGAAATTGTTCCAGCATTAATGAAGTAGAGCCTTGCTTGGCCCACTCAATAAGCCCAAACGCTTCCGCAGCCATGTTACTGGTGCAGATGGACACCTCCTTGGCTACAATGATCAAATTCTCCAGATACATGAGTATATAAGAGATTAAATTTGGTCTAAACTTAAAAGATGCTGGTTTTTTTTGCTTATCCTTTGTTTTCCATAATACAAGAATAGCTTCTATCTATCACACTAACCGCATCTCATAACACACACCACACACATACATCCATAATGAGATCTACATCGTTCATAACATCGTTAGCTATCATAGCCTCCATGGCTTCCGCAGAAACCTTGAGCACCATACTGTCTACCATCACATGTTCTGCTTCTACTTGTGCTGCCTCATCAGTCGCTCCATCGCAATTCTTCTACTCCAACTCCTCCATACCTGCTTCCTCATCAACAAAGCATAAGACTACCATCTACGAATACGACACGACCGCTGTCGATTCCACTTTCAAGGTTACCAAGACTGTCTGTGACGAAAACTCCTCATGCTACACAACTACTGATGTTGAGAGTCTTGCTACTCTCACTACCACTGTTGATGGTGTCTTGACTGTCTTGACTACCCCAGTTCCAGTCTCATCAGTTGACCCTGCTTACGCTACTACAACTTCATTAGTTCCAGCCTCCACAATCCTCGATGTTGTGACTGACAACTCTGTCATTTACCTCACCACCACTCACTGTTCTAATGACGTTTGTACGACTTCCGTGGAAACTGATGTCTTGACTACTTACACCACTACTGTCGATGATGTTGAAACCATCATCACTACCTACTGTCCTCTTACTGCAACTACTCCAACTACTGTCGCTCCAGATGTAACCACAACTGCTCCAGTAACTGATGCTACCGTTACCGAAGCCTCAACCACCGTTATTACCATTACTTCTTGTAGTGACCATAAGTGTACTACTGAAGCTGTTACCACCGGTCTCACAGTTGTTACTTACACCACCAACGATGTTGTCACTGAGTACACCACTTACTGCCCATTGTCAAGCACTGTTGCTCCAGAAGAAACCACCAGTACCACACCTGCCCCAGAAACTGACTCCACCGTCACTGCTACTGAAGCATCTACCACTGTCGTTACCATTACTTCATGTAGTGACAACAAGTGTTCTACCTCTGCTGTCACCACCGGTCTTACCGTAGTTACTTACACTACCAATGATGTCGTCACTGAGTACACCACTTACTGCCCATTGACCTCAGAATCCACCACTGCTGAAGAAACTACTTCTACTTCCACCACTAGTGCAGTTAAAACCTCTGCTGAAGAAACCACTATTGACGTCATCACTGACGATATTCAAACTGTCACTCCAGCTACCTCTTCCGTTGCTACTACCCAGACTACTTCCGTTATCTCCCTGTCTTCCTCCACTGTTGCCACACCTTCGATTACTTCTTACAATGGTGGTAACAATGTCAAATATGCTGGATTCTTGGGATTAATGGTTCCATTTTTCTTAGCTTTAGTTTAAATTAAGCATTGCATACAAACCAGAAATACAATAAATAAAAAAGGAATAAAAAAAATGGCACTACTACGGCTCTAGAGCAAAGAGACGAGGAAAGGAAACTGAATGTTGGTCTGAGGCTAGAGTTTCAAGATGGTATCCCTTGAGTTCGAATTATAAGTGGGAACACTGAAGCAATTTCCATACTGGAGCAACCAGTTTCGCTACATAGAAACAATCTTTTTCTTACGAGATGAAGATAACAAACAAAGACAGAATAAGTACTAGGTATTTTTTTAAAAACCGATTGAATAATAATATACTACGCATTGAATTACTACCCCTGTAGAAATCCTGTAGAAAGTACCCACACTAGAGGAAGAACCACCCGCCTACTCTGTAGTGTAGATAGCTAAGCGTCTGTGAGGATGAGCACCTGCGAGGTGAGCACCTGCGAGATAAGCACTCCCGCATGCGAGAGAAGAAAACTTGAGCAGCGTAAAATGACCGTCGGTCGCAGGCACCTGAAATACCGCGCTTGGCTATTGCCATACAAAACAGGGCATCCTTTCACCCAGGACCACATATTGTGAATCAATATCGGAATATCTCGCTCAGGAGCGATCCTTACACGAAACAGGTCTAACCAATATTGGTCAGCACACCGTCTTACGTACTCCCAAGTATTTCTTTTATCACAATTGTTAAAAAAACATAATTTGTACAAAAATGATAACAAAAATATCCGGGATCTTCGCTGTTTGCCTGAATACGAATTGAGTTTTCTTCTCTAACGAACTGGGGGTCCTCGAAATAATCAAACAATCCCACAAATTAGCTACCTGGGAAGAGCCCCAGACGCGGAGACCGGATATTTTTACTAAAGAGCATGCCAAAAACACTCCTACAACATTGCCAAGGGGATTTTCCGACTTTTTCGATACATAATGTTGTATCACCGGTTGTAGCTTTAGGTTATCGCTAAGAGATTATTAAAAAAAAAAGAAAAGCTAAGGGAAGAAAAACAAAATTCTAGAAACGCTCTACATAAGACTGCAGCATGGAAGGTTGGGCCGGAGAAAGCTGGAATCCAGATCTGAAACAGTGCCCTAGGCGTCGTCAACTTATATCTATCTCTAAAGCACTCAAAGCAGCTTCACATCGTAGCGTAGAACCCTCTCCCTTCACTCTCTAATCTGCCTTCTCTCTCTTCTCTCCCATCTCTCTCAACTCTCCCAACTCTCCCCATCGCACTCCACAGCATCTCGAAGTAGAGAGTCGGTACTGCATAATGCCCCTCACTCTTGTGGTTTGTGTACTGCATACACCCACCAGCTGTTGTATGAAAAAAAATACAGGCACTCCAGCAGGCAAGCCATAGACTGTCTCCACTACGTATCTAGAGCGCCTGAAACCCCATCATAGTTCGTTGATAGCTGTTGTTATCGTACTCCGCTTGCTGGGATTAATAGAATCGAACGATGGATGCTTATTATGAGTTCATAGAGCCTACTAGGGTGTCCCACTGCATTGGGTGTAACTTTATCTCACCCAGTGTCAAGCACCTCATAGTTGCAAAGTCCACGCTACTCCAGGTATTCGAAATCGGTAAGGACTCGAATTTGAAGCTCGTTGAACAATTTAAGCTTCACGGAATGATCACCGATTTGAAGGCGATTAGGACTGTAGAAAACCCGAACTTGGACTACGTCTTGGTGTCTACTAAGTTTGCCAAGATGTCGTTAATAAGGTGGAACCACAAGTTCAATTCCATATCGACGGTTTCCTTGCATTACTACGAAAACTCTATCAGGAACTCTACCTTTGAAAAGTTGACGGGAACCAGCCTTATAGTGGAACCCAACAGTTACTCGTGCACATGTATGAGATTCAAGAACATATTGACCTTCTTACAATTTGAGGTCGATGACGATGAGTACGACGACGATATGGACGACGACGATAATAAGAAGAGGTCCAGGCTGATTCAGCAGCAACACCAGCAGCAGCAGCAGCTGATGAACCAACTTCAGCTAGAGTTGTCTACTCGAGACGCTCCTCCGCTCTTTGTCGATTCCTCATTCCAATTGGATGCTCAAACGTTGGACCCCTCCATTGGGGAGATCATCGACATGCAATTCTTGTACAATTACAGAGAGCCTACGCTTGCCATTATCTACACCAACAACTCCACTTGGAGTGGTATGCTTCCCAAAGTTAAGGATAACATCAGCTTCATGGTGCTATCACTTGACTTGATGACCAGGTCGACCACGGCAGTGTTGAAGGTTGACAATTTACCTTTCGACATAGAGAGAGTAATCCCACTTCCACAGCCTTTCAACGGTAGTTTGTTGGTTGGGTGTAATGAATTAATTCACATAGACAACGGTGGTATTACCAGAAGAATTGCAGTCAATCAGTATACGGAATCAATAACCTCCACCAAAAACTACTTAGACCAGTCGTCATTGAAGTTGCAATTGGAAAATTGCTCCATTACTCCGATTAAAAATGATAATAGATTGCTTTTAGTTTTGGAGAAGGGGGAATTTTATTTCATCAACTTTAAAATTGATGGTAAATCAATCAAGAAAGTCTTCATAGAAAAAGTTGATGATGACAAGTATAGTGATATACAGTTAACCTTCCCAGGAGATATTGCGTTGTTGGACAAGGGATTGATGTTCATGAGTAATAAGAATGGAGATAATCTTTTGGTTGAAATTGGATACACTCAGCAAGAAGACGCAGCTGTAACAGAAGCCGATGAAGATGAAGAGATCGATAGAAGTGATGGAGATGACGAAGGTGACTACATTGAAAAGTTGGACAATTCTAATGGGATTAACGATTTCAATGGTGACTTTAAGCTAGTAAATGAAGATGATGAAGATGATGATAATCTTTACGGGGATGAAGACGAAGACTCCTACAAAAAGACAACCAAAAAGGGAATAATTAAATTCACCAAGTGTGACACTTTAATTAACAATGGGCCAGTATCAAACTTTACTCTTGGGCATTATTCTACTGATAAGTTCAAGGCCAACTTATCCAATCCTAATTTCAAAGAGGTGTCTATTGTAGGAAATTGTGGGTCACACAACAATGCATCTATAAATATTATGGTTCCCTCGATTCAACCTATAGTTAAATCTTCCCTTTCTTTCTCGCAAATCGATAGAATGTGGACCATCTCGAACAAGTATTTGATAACTTCTGATGATGTTAACTTCAAGTCAGAAATTTTCCAAATCAATAAATCCTTTGCAAGATTGAATGCCAAAGACTTCATCAACGACCAATCTACTATAGCTATCTTTGAAATTGGCGAAAACTTTTCAATTCAAATCACTAGTGCCACAGTGAACTTGTATGATTCAAAATTTAAGAAATTGGCATCGCTTGATGAAGAATTGGGGAAATTATTGTCAGTGAACGATGATAACATTCTCTTTGGTACTTTAAGCGATGAATATTTATTGATCACTGTCTCAACCGGTGAAGCAATGATTTTCCAGATCAACACTTATAATGCTAGCTTCACTAAGATCAATTTACCAAAAATTTTGGAGGATACAATTATTACTACAGGTTATATCACTAATTCATCTTTGTTGAATTCAGTTACCAAAGATATTGGATTACTTATAAAGGGAGGTAATAAGAGGAAGCACTCTTCCAGTATTAGTAGCACGAATAGCGCCAATGGTACTGCTGATGGAACTGAATCGACGATGGCAAAGAAAAGCAAACTCTTCGTCTTGGTGACTGGTGACAATCGTATTGTTGTCTTCAATAGGTTCCATAATGAGAAATGTTTCCAATTGAACGACTTAGACAAATTCTCAAATCATCTTAAGATTGCATTTTTCGAAAAAAGGGAAACGTTACCTGATCCATTTATAAAACAAATAGTATTGAATCCGTTGGGCAACAAAAACAACTCAGACTGCGAAGAGTTCTTAACTATCTTGACAATTGGGGGTGAAATAATATTGTACAAGCTTTATTTTGATGGAGGGAATTACCAATTCATCAAGCAAAGAGATCTTAGGATTACGGGAGCTCCTGTCAATGCATATTCCGCAGGTACTGTCATTGAAAGAAGATTGGTCTATATTAAAAACAATAATGGATTTTCAGGAGTTTTCATAACCGGAACTGTTCCATATTGGTTAACGAAGACTTACCAATCTATACCGAGAATTTTCAAGTTTACGTCATTGTCATCTGTTTCGTTTTCAGCCTTTTCAGATAGCAAAGGTGTTAAGAACGGATTTATTTACTTAGATAATAAGAAGAATGCCAGAATCTGTGAATTGCCTTTGGATTTTAGCTATGATAATAATTGGCCTATAAAAAAAATCAAAGTTCCAAGAGGTGAAACCGTCAAGTCGATAACTTATCATGAAACTTCACATACTTTTGTTATTTCCACTTACAAAGAAATTCCATATAATGCTTTAGATGAAGAAAATAAACCAATAGTTGGTATCGACCCACAAAAGCCATCTGCTACTTCTTTCAAAGGGTATATAATGCTTTTGTCACCATATAACTGGTCAATCATTGATACCATAGAGTTGGAGGATAATGAAATCGGGATGAGCGTAAATTCGATGTTATTGGATGTCGGGTTGGCACAGAAAAGGTTCAAGCAAAAGAAGGAGTTTATTGTCATTGGAACAGGAAAATACAGAATGGAAGATTTAGCTGCAAATGGAAGCTTCAAGATATATGAAATCATTGACATTATTCCTGAACCTGGTAGACCAGAAACAAATCATAAATTCAAAGAATTTTGCAAGGAAGATACGAGAGGTGCTGTAACTTCAATCTGTGAAATTAGTGGAAGATTTTTAGTCACACAGGGACAGAAGATAATTGTAAGAGATTTGCAAGATAATGGTACTGTGCCCGTTGCCTTTTTAGATACTTCGGTCTACGTCTCTGAAGCTAAGAGTTTTGGAAATTTGTTAATATTAGGTGACACTTTGAAGTCCATTTGGTTAGCTGGTTTTGATGCTGAACCATTTAGAATGATTATGTTAGGTAAGGACTTACAATCACTTGATGTCACTTGTGCTGACTTTATTGTGAGAGATGAAGATATTTATATTTTAGTGGCAGATCTGAAAAACGTGTTGCATCTCTTACAATATGATCCAGACTACCCATCTTCCTCCAACGGTCAAGTGTTGTTGCAAAAGTCATCATTCAACATAAATTCAAACGCAACATGCATGAGATCTATTCCTAAGAATGAAGAAATTAACACTAACTTGATGTTTGATAACTTCCAAACGATTGGTTCTACTATCGATGGTTCCTTTTTTGTTGTGTTCCCAGTGAGTGAATCCACTTACAGAAGAATGTATATTATACAGCAACAAGTTATTGACAAAGAATATCATTATTGTGGTTTAAACCCCGCATTGAATAGATTCGGTGATATATCAGTCACTGCAAACGACACTAACGTAAAGCCATTATTGGACTACGAGGTAATCAAGCTTTTTGCTAGTTTGAACGAAGATAGAAGAAGAAACTTGCTGATGAAGGTTGGTTCGAGTCAATATCCTGAAATTTGGAAAGACTTGATCGAATTTGAAAACGTATTGAAAAATATGTGATCAGGTACTAAAATGGTATGGAGCAGATTTCGGTTTAGGTGTTCACTTTATAGATTTGAAAAAAAAAATAAGATTAGAAAGTCCCGAGTTTTAGTAGAAGTAAGGTGTATTGAGTAGAATAAGTAATTTTCGTAAGTAAAGATGATGATACTGATTGGGAGAAGTGACTCTCATTAGTAAAGACTAGCTCTGTTCTTACGTACTATATGGTTCCAAGAGCGGTTATATGCAGTCCTGATCTATGTACATGCTTCCTCCTAAAGTTTTCAATTTTTCGTGATTTTTTGTATCTCCTTTTCTTTGACATTGACGATACTTCTACAAGGATGCCTACCAAAGCTAAGAAGTCTGTCTCCTTTCAAGCCTCTACTACAGATGAGCTTAAGGAAGAGACAAATGCAGAAAGTCAAGTTGAAATCCCCTTCAATCTGTCAGCATTGTTAGTCCCTTTCCACTTGCCAGTAATATTGGGGTTCATATTCAATGGACTCTTGGAAAATCCAAGGACTCTTTTAATCCAAGGAATTCCGACATTGGTGGCCGCTCAATTTGGATACGGAATATTGATAACGAAGAGGTTCAAGAGTAGTAATACAAACTCGAAGAAGAAGAGTAAATCTAGTAATAATAATAACAAGAATAACAATAATACTCCAATCCTACTTGTTGGTTCAATTCTTATTTCAATATTACTATCAATACCATTGTTTATAGTTATAATTTTGTTTGGCGCGCCATTGTACGGATTATTGACGGAAACGTTTCTTTTATCTGTGCACTTATCATTGATACTATTCTATCCTATTTTGGTTAGTTACAAGTTAGATTTTGCACAATTCTTGCAGTCTTTTACCCCAGGTAGCGGGGATCAAATTTACCAGCAATTGTACAAGAATCAGTTGATTTTCGCATCGATAGGAGGGGTTGTGGGAGCATGGTTTGGAGTGTTACCAATACCATTGGATTGGGATAGAGACTGGCAACAATGGCCAATTACAATACTAGTCGGGGGTTATATAGGCTCTTTGTTAGGAAGTATTCTTAGTTTACCCTTTTCAGAGTAAAAATTGTATAGATTAGACATTATAATAAAAGAAATCTTATCAAATGAAGAAAAAAATAAAAAGAAAAGCTAGAATAGAAGAGGAGTTATGTTTGTAGTAAAGTCCGAGCCAAAAGAGGGACTCCGAAAAACGCAAGTTCGAGAACAAGATGAACCAATGGTGGTGTACAATCCGCCGTTGAATCTGCTTACCGATCAAAGGTGAGGGGGGGCTATGGTGGTGCAAAGAGTAGTGTTACACAGATCTTTTCGATATGTCTATGATTATGATCTTATTAATGCGCAATTACTAACCATTAGCATCAAAGTGGCCCTAATCGTAAAGGTTTGACACATCAAGAGCGCTTCTAGATTAATTGAAACTTCTCTGCTTACATTACAATTTGTTCCGCGCAAAAAATTTCGTAATCAAAATTTAGCAATGGTAGCGGCCCACGCGGTGGGTGGGGAGGGAATGCACCAGTTTCACACTGGAGAGCAAAGGTTAGATCCGCATTCTCCAGGTGGGAAGGCAGCCAATGGTTCTGCAAGAACTACTAAATTATGGTTTGACCTGAATACTTTAAATAGGCGACAAGAGCATTGTTTTCGGTGTTGTCGACGAAAATTACCCCTCTGGTACCTGTAAGCGAATACTGTTGATAAGATGGTGCAATAGCTGTTCCCCTAACCTAAATTTTGGGCTGCTGTTGAAGCTAAATCTTCGGTGCGACAATGTAATTCAGGGTGGAAAAAAAAAATGACCAGCTCCGAGCTTCGATTTAGAACCCTCAACAATTGATTACAAATTGTGGAATATATAAACGAAGCAACCCCCGACTCTTGTTAGGTTTTTTTTTCACTTTTACTATCATTCAATTGAACCAACTTTAATACTTTTTAATTGAATTCCACAAGCTAAATACCACACAATGTCTCCAGTAGAAAGTAAGTTTCTTCCGCCATAGAGCATTTTGAAAAATTCACGATTTTCTTTTTTTTTTGGGCCTTTGGTTCGGAGTTGTGTAGCATTGATGCCCGAGCAACTGTTGAATTGCTGCTCCAATGGGTATCATCAATGTTTCACCATTAAAAAAGCCTCTCAATCCTATTTTTTTACGGTTGTACTAACATTTGTAAAGTCTCAGATGCCTTCCCAACTGACGTCAAGTTGAAGTACATCCCTTACTCCAAGGAACACACAGATATCTCCGCATGTGGTAACCCAGTTATCTACGACTTGGCTAAGGAATTGCCAGGTAAGAAGATTATCATTACCGCAGCTCCAGGTGCCTTTACTCCAACATGTACCGAACAACACATTCCAGGTTACATCAAGGATGCAGAGAAATTCAAGGCCAAGGGTGTTGATAAGATAATTGTTCTTACCACTAACGATCCATTCGTTAACGCTGCTTGGGGTAAGGCTTTAGGTTACACCAATGAAGAAAATTTCATTATTTTCGCAACTGATCCAAATGGTGCACTCTCCACCGAGTTGGGTGACAACTACCTTGTAGACTTGAGCAAAGTCGGCTTTGGTTTAAGAACTAATAGATACGCCGCCATTGTTGATAATGGTAAGGTTACATTCTTAGAAAATGAAGACGAAGGTGGATTTTCAGATATTACCAAGGCTGACTCTCTTCTTGGAAGGTTATAGATTTTCGTAGGCGGTATGTATATGTTTTAATTTGAAAAAATGTGTGAAAAATAGGTTATAGTGTAGTTTGTAAGACCATTGGAGTGATGAATGACATTCGAGCTAGCTTATACCTAGCTTACGCCAATGAAACTGAAACGTTCTGTTGCTCTACTCTGTACCTCTCTCTACCTCTATCCTCCTCCACCTACTGTAATACCTCTGGTCTCCTGCATATAACTGGTTGCAATATCGCGTCAAAATGAAAAATAACAGACAAGCAAGACAGCTCAGACGCGATAGACGTAGACATCGGAGCAGTAACCTTGCTAACGATGGCTTCAAACTTCCCAAGCATACCAAGGGTGACGGGAGATACCGATGACGATATATCTATCCATTTATATAACAAAGTTGGGCCTTCGAGGCCCCTACCTCACAGGAATTTCGATGAGGACATATTAGACATACTTCAAGAAGATGAAGATGACCTAGATGCCAATAGCGCCATAGATTTCAACAAAAAATACCAATTATACCAATCCACGGGTCAATTGGCTGATGATGAAGAATATCCTTCTGATGAGTACGATGTAGACACTGAAGTTGAGGACGATAGAGACGAAAATGCTGCATTCAAAGAGTCCATCAATAAGCTGAGACCTAAAGAAAAGCCACCCGTCCCAAGCATATTTGAGGAGTTCAGCAATGTAAAGAAATCTGCAAATAACGCCTTCAAAGCAAAGTCAATGGCTAATTTCTTTACTAATGGCTTTACTAATGGCATTAATAATAGAATAGTCCTCTTTCTGTTGTGGTTTGTGCTCCTTTTGGCTTTTGTAGGGTTCCTCTTCAGTTCAAGATCCAGAGATAGCTTGCCAATACAATTACCGGTGAATTCAGAAAGTTTCACTTCCACTTTTAAATCCATAACATCGAAACTATCGTACCTAGAACTGGCCACAGATAAGCTCTCTGAGAAGCAGGCAGCCTTGGAGTCAAATCAGAATTTGATGGCGTCAAACTTAAATAAGAAATTCGAAGTCATATCATCCAAATTCCAGGAAATCGAAAGCACTTTAGTTGACCTGAGGTCCTTTAAGAACCTTTATAAAGAATTTGATGATATGAAAACATCTGTCTCATCCATTATAGAGAATTCTGATCCTAATCAGCTTGAAACAAAATTGAATTTTGTATCCAAAAAGCTTAATGAATTGTCTGACATAAGCTCTAGTATGGAATCAATAAAGAGCGAGATATTGACAAAGTTGTTGGATCAATTGCCTGAAAGAATTCCAATATATATTAAAGATAAAAAGGTTCATTTTATACCAGAATTCCAGAAATTCTTGTATTCATTTATTGAAAAGTATAACCAAGAAAATCCAGTATTGGATGATGAAACGAAGAAGAAGTTGCAGTTGGGATCGGCTGGTGGTAATGGCAATATCAATAAGGGGAAGTTGGAAACGTATTTAAAGAACAAATTTGATGAGAACAATAAAGAGATTTGGGCGAAGCTTACCAACCTCATTGACGATCTTACTATAGTCAACAATTCCACTGATACCAAATTGTTCGAAAAGAATGCTAACCATCTTTTGCTAGACAACCTTTTGGATATATTTTCCAAGGGTTCCGTAAAAATCAATTATGCTGACTACAACCTAGGAGCGAGAATTCTAGGATTCCTCACTAGTTTGGGCGGGAGCGAGAGCAGCTCTAAACCATTGGCCAGGAGAGTATTCCTTGGCTGGTATGATTATTTGAAGAGTCCCAATAATTGGAATTATAATGCCAACAATGTCCTTGTAGATGGTGGAAAGATCTGGGAATGTCTTTCCAATCAATGCTCAATTGGTATTAGGCTATTCAATCCAGTAATTCTCACAGATATAATTGTGAAGAGTGGTACATTTGACCCTAGCGAATTTTCTGCGCCTGTGGGAGTTTCGCTCTACATTAAGCCCAAGTACCAGGACAAAGTGGGAGAAGTTTTAAAAGTAATATCAACATTTAATGATGACTCCGAAGTTGAAGATACCAACAAATACCTTAAGAAGTTTGTCAAGGTAAAGTCTTTTAAATTGAACCCTGCAAAATCCATAAATCATTTGAAGCTTCCAGTCAATTTGATCAACCTAAAGGTTCCAGTCAGAGACATATATTTGAAGTTGACTTGTGCGCCAGGCAAGAATTGTGCCATATTCAATACCAAGGTGTATGGGATCACTGAATACAATACCTACAAATTTTCGAATGACGTCGATTTGATGGTCGAGAAATTGAAACTACAAGAAAACGTAGAAGAAGAAGAAGAAGAAGAAGAAGAAAATTCAGATGAATATATTTACGAGAGAGAGTTTGAAAGCAATGCAGAAATTCTAGGAGACGACGAGCTATTATGGTAATTTCATAATATGAAGAAAGTGCAGATGAATAGGCCAATGCAAAATCCTAGGCGATGATGCGCTATTATGGTGATTTCATTAACAAAATGTGATGTATAAACCAATGCAGAAATCCTAGGAGATGATGCGCTATTATGTTGGTATAAGCAGTTTTTTACAAATGGCCATGGCTTACTGGGAGGCTCATATTTAAATATAAACAAAATTGGATAACAATGAGTTGTGGGGAGTTTTAATTGGTAACACGATAAGGTTGACCAACGAGCTAAATAATACTAATAATAGCACTATTTGGTTTTAGTGTGTTAAGTGCGGTGATTCACCTGGTGACAAGATAAAGGTGCCCCATGAGCTAAATTAGTTGCATGACTTGGGACGATTTGAAACAAGGCATACACCTTAGTAGACGAGGCTCATTTGTATAATATATGTATGTAATAAAAGTCCTGGTAAGACAACTTAACCTCATCCAAAACGGAAAGTGTTTGGTCGGGGAACGTCCCCTACATGTGAATGAGTACACATTCACTCCATAAACTTTAATGAGGCGCATTCTCGATCTAATGTGTATCGTCTGGTGTAGAGCTTCTCATAAGTGGGAAAAAAATTTCACGGTACACCCCAAAACCTTATAAAAATAATTTCCGCACATCTTAGCCTACAAGTGGAAAGGTTCAAATGAGGTGTTTAGCCAACAAGGCTGATGAATGGAGGTTCGAAAATAAAGGCGTGTATTAAGATTTTGAAATGATATTTAATTTTATATTTTTAAATGGGTTTCAAAGATGTGCTTAGAAAAATGAAATCATCATCTCTCGAAGTAATGAAGAATAACTAAATTTAGATGTAGCTTCTAAATGCTTTTAATTTTTGTAATGATCTTGTAGCAAGAAATGTTTAAAAAAAACGTATATTAGTGATTTTTTGGGGGGGTTTTATACTAAAGCAGCTAGTGCTGAAAGGGTATTATTAGTCATACACTTAGTATAAGAAAGATAAACCAGCTAATAAAGCAGCACCGACAGCTGGGGCAGCGAAAGCGTTAGCGGCGTTAGCAGCAGTGGAGACAGCAGCAACAGTGCTTGGGGCAGCAGAGGTGGTGGATTCAACTGGAGCAACGGTAGCTGGGGTGGTAGATTCAACTGGAGCAGCAGAAGTGGTGGTTTCAACTGGAGCAGCGGTGGTTGGGGTGGTGGTTTCAACTGGAGCAGCAGAAGTAAGAGGACAGTAGGTGGTGTAGACGGTGTCTTCTTCAGTAACAGTGGTAACACCGGTGGTGACTTCAGATTCGTGACACTTGTCGTCAGCACAAGAAGTGATAGTGACAACGGTGGTTTGGATTTCGGAAGCAGTGTAGGTGGTAACGTCGGTTAATGGACAGTAGGTGGTGTAGATGGTGTCTTCTTCGGTGACAGTGGTTAAACCGGTGGTGACTGGGACTTCAGTACACTTGTTGTCAGAACAAGAGGTGATGGTGACAACGGTGGTGTGAATGTCAGTGACGGTGGAGTTGGTGTATTCAGCAACGGCTGGGGCAGCGACGGCGGCGGCGGCAATAACGGCGGTGGAGAACTTCATTTTAGCGATTGTGGGTGTATTTGAAACTAAGATATAGATAATATATAAAGAAGGAAAAAAAAAAGAATGCAACTCCCTCCAATTTATCGAAGGATTCCCTGCCTCTTTTATATTAAATTGGGGTGCAAATAAAATCAGGAATGGCAAAATGAAGGTCGAGCTATAGAACACTCGCAACCATTGAAAGGTGCATATGCAGCAGCCATGTGCAACGTAGGCGCTCGCAACCAAAGCGCGAAAATGTTGAAAGAATGATCGAAAGGAGTAAAAAAGGTTTCCAAAAAAAAATGAAAAAATGTACATACAAGATCGTTCTCCTCTTTCTGTTTTGCAATATTTTAGACGACCTCTGTTTACGAAACAAAAACATTACACGGACTAAAGTTAAACTGGAAATGTTGGACCACCGGACGCCGGACGGGCACTGCAATGTCACAGAGTGTAAATATAGGGTTTGAAGGAAGAGTGGAAGAGATTCTTATTGCCCTGTGGGTTCCCAGCCCATGTGTGCCTTCCGTCTGGGTTATCTTTTTTTTTTTTTTTTATTTTTTTTTTTTACTTTTTCACTCACTTTATCCACTTTCTCGTATGGGTGCTCTCACTTTGCCCATGCGCGCATACTCACCTTAACGGTTGTTGTACACAACAGTTCTATAATTATCCCATTTGTCGGCTTAAAATCGGATCAAACCTTCCCAAAATTGATCAGTTGCAGATGCTTGCCGATTAAGACGTCCCCTGAAAAATCCCCAATGCACCGCTGCCTATTGCCATTATGGAAGAGCCAATTATTCCAAAAGACCCGACGTTTATCTTCGATCGACGCTCGTCTCCTAAACAACCTTAGATCTAAACCTTAGTCGCTGGTAGAGTTGTTTCGACAATTGCATTCCTTTTCATTCCAATCAATTTGCTAAACGAAGTGTTCCCTCCTGCTCCCCTATTCCAAAGTTTGCGATTTTGTCTAACAATAATAAAAGTGGATATATTTACATTGCGCACAGTGAGGCAGGTGACTAATTCGATACATTCACTCTATAAATAAATCAAAGTGTTTATTTACATTACGCAGGATGAATCAACCGAAAGCAACATACTTGGTATAGTTACCCTATGTGCCCTTCGTAACTCCCAGCCAATAGCCATATAAGAAAGAAAAAAAAAAAAGCAAAGAAAAAAAAAGAAAGACAAAGAATCAAACCAAAAAACCCTCCAAACCTTAACTTAGTAGGTGAAAATTTTTCATACGAAAGAGAAACCAAAAAGTGACAATGTTACTAACCTACGATCTATTTTAAGTATAACCTTCCGAGAAATGGGCCAATGTAACTCTTTACCAGAATGGAAAATACGAACTGCAAATGTACCACTTTTCTTTCTTTCACTCAAATGTTGCGACGGTGCTAGACCATTTCTTTTTCGACTCTCTGATGGAACCTAAAACCTAAAAACCTACGCATGTAAGCTTGGGGTTCCAGAGGAATCGATTTCTGCATGGAACTCTGAATGGCTCCTGGATGAAATGACTCTCATTTGTTATTCGTATCATACTCTCTGATAGGCTACTATACTACTAGTCCACTATTCTGTGACTTTCATTGTATTAATACCTCAATTTCCTGCTAAACGTCGACCATCCTATAGGTGCTCACTTTGTTTGGGTAACCTATAAAAAATAATCAAGTTCGAATGCTCCCCTGCGTTAGCGACAAACGCGATAATGGATCGACCCGCGCCTCGGGGTGAATGATTGGTGAATATTTTTTCAGCTTTGTTTATTTTTCGCGGGACAGGCGCGATTTCTTTTTACATTAGACTTTAAAGAGCGTCAATTAAGTAAACTATTAGAAAATACTGGGGTAATAGAACGAAATAAACAATGAAGATTGGCTTAATTCTACATCAAGTTTGATGGGGATATGCATTGAAACAATCCATTAGTTCACAAAGCCCCATACCTTGTCTTTAAATTAAGCTTACTACAATTCATGTATCGATCGGACAGAGCATACTTATTACTACACTAACGTTTTGTTTTGCATTCTTTTTTTGGTTCATACATATGATCTAAATCTGACTTGTTTTGCTTTGCATTGCAGTGTTTTGTTTTCTTTTCTTTTCTTTTCTTCTGTTTTGTTTTGTTTTGATTTAATTTTGAATTTTCGTATTGATAGCTCATCTTTAATTTTTATGGGGTTTCTCATTTTATCTAATCTCGTAAAGGTAAACCTTTGCCACGTTTCTCGTAAGCCAATCTTCTAGAACTCCTCTCTCAAAACATCTTCCTAAATAACAAATTTATAGGTTGCAATCTCAAATCCTTGCAAACTAATTGAGACTTCTCCATCCTTCAGAATATCAACTTCTTCAATTTCTTCTTCTAATCCATTGACTTTGTATACCTTGGAAACAGGTAACTCATTCAAATTAACCTTCAATGTTCCACTACTTGAGCCTCCTAATGATTCGTAAACTCTAGTAATAAACGATTTCTTTCCTTTGTTTTGAATTGCAAGGTTAGGATAAATCACTAAATCTTCATCATATTCCCCTCTCTTTATTTGCGACAAAATTAAACTCTTACTTTCGCTTTCAATACCAACCAAATCCCCAAACTTTTGAATGTCATGCACTGGTGCCTTTGTTAAATCCTTACTATGGATATTGTGGTTGAAATTATATCCCAATCTAACAGTGTCAGGTCCAAGGGTATTTTTGTGAGGATAGATAGCATATTCGAAATGATGGTCTCCCATATCTGCCTTTTCGTCGGGTGCCTTTGGCGATCTTAAAAGTGATAATCTGATTAAATTTCCATGGATAGCACCACCGTACTTAGAGTCGTTAATAATGGAAACACCATAATTGAATTCTGACAAATCCATAAACTTATGGTGACACACTTCAAACTTAGCAACATCCCATGAAGTATTGAAATGAGTTGGTCTTTGGGTGATACCAAATTGAGTTTCATAATTAGCTTGCTGTGCTGTGTGAATTGTAGTAGGAAACTGAACCTTCAAAAACTTATAAGTTTCATGCCACTTAACATCACTAGAAAATTTGATGTAGTTGTTTTGCACAACGTCACTAGCTCCGGTAATACCTTCAATGGAAATCTCAGTCTCAATACTCGACTTATCAGAAATGGAATGTTTTACTAACAAAGAAGATTTCAATGGACCACTTTCTAAAATAGATACTTCACCATCTGTCAAGAATTTGAACTTGTTTAACGAGTACAATTCAGTATCCCAAGCAGGAAAGTTCAAAGGTTCATCATCAAATATCAAAAATTGGTTTCCACCGATTGTGGTTGTACCGTCTTCCTTACTAGTCTGTCTAGTTTGTCTAGTATCAATAACTTCTCTCTTGTTCACAGTATCGTATAAAGAAGTGATAATACCGTGCTTGGATATAGTAGCCTTGATGAGTTCATTTGATAAAATGTAAGAGCCGTCTTCTTCTGCGATAACTGACGCCTTGTACAAGATATCATCAAAATTATTGACGTTAGTTTCATCCTCCCTAGCATGAGAATTGACAGAAACGTAGGCAACCTCCTGATCCTTTGTAGAGTATTGGATCGCCTTTGAGTTTCCTCTGGCGGTCTCGATGTTGGCTTTTTCATTCGATGAAATGTCAACTTTAACAATCTCATGTCTTGCCCAAGGTAAGGTGTTGGCAAAACCAACATCCCATAATTTCAAAACATTCTTGCGCTTTTTCTTGTTCAACAAGTCAAGACCTTCTTGGATCAATTTATCGACCTTTTTCAATAATCTTCTAAGCATTGGCTTAGCCTCTTCATAGTAAACCATTCCAATACAACTTCCTGGCAAAACATCGTGGAATTGACATAAGCATAAATCTTCCCACAAGGCCTGCAATTCCTTTTTAGGGTAAGAATAATCCTTGCCCTTGGTTAAAGATAATAAGGTTGCAATCCATTCTAAATCATGCAACTTGGCCTCACCTCTTCTCATATACTTCTTAATATCAGCTTGAGTAGTATAAGTACCTCTGTGGAATTCTAAGTAGATCTCACCAACCCAACTTGGTAAAGTTAAACCATGTTTAGATTTTTCCATTATATGATCAAAGAAATCGTCTGGAGTAACTCCTAATTGTAAGGTAGGCATTAACCCAGAAGTATTAGCTACACCTCTGCAACGACGTAATTTCTCTAACATATCTTCAGTGGGTCCACCACCACCGTCACCCTTACCATAAAGTAACAACCCTGCCGGGACGTCTCTCATATTCTTATGTTGATGCTGCGATCTAACCACATCACCGAAATTGGCATCTGCAGTATAAGTATTAGCTGGAGGCATATGGACTAAAACTTGGGATCCATCAATACCAACCCAATTGAAGGTTGACAAGGGGAACTGGTTTATATTGTTCCATGATAACTTCTGAGTGACGAACTTGTTAATTCCGACAATTTGACAGATTTGTGGAATCTGTGAAGAGTATCCGAAAGTATCAGGTAACCAAAAGATATCAGCCTTAACGCCAAATTCATTGAGTTGGAAATTCTGACCCAAAAGGAATTGACGAATCAAGGATTCACCATCGGGCAAATTGGTGTCATTTTCAACCCATGAACCTCCAATTGGTAAGAATTGGTTAGTTGCAAACTTTTCGTGTACAAGCTTCAAAGTCTCTGGGTGGTACTTCTTCAACCACTTGAATTGTTGCATTTGAGATGCTACGAAAACATATTCAGGGTACTCGTCTGCAATTTTAATCTGAGTGGTCCAAGATCTGACGATCTTTCTCTTGGTTTCAGCAAATGGCCATAACCATGCTGTGTCAATGTGACAGTTTCCAACACCGAAAACTTCAATTCTGTTCAATGGAGGCTTCACATGGAAAACCGCATCGGAATCAATGTCCTTACCCAAGTATCCCTTAGCCAATTCTCTACATTTATCCAAGGTCTTCACATCCTCAGGATCAAAAATATCCATGATGTCATTACAAATGGTTTGGGCTTGCCACTTTTGCCATGAGTCGCTCGGGAATTCTCTAGCTGCATCAGATATAATCCAGAAGTCATAGAAAAGCTTTCTTGCAGTAAGATTTGGTCTGACCAATTCACACCTGGAGAGATAGAAATATCTATTGGGGTCAAGGTTACCTTGGTCTCCTATCCCAAACATTCCATTACAAGCAGCTTCGAGATAAAATGTCTGCTTTCCTGCAATAGTGTACTCCTTTGGAAGTCTGAAAGTCGATCTTTCATCACCACCTGTGAATGCTTGCAATGGTAATCCATGCTTATTGTAAATCAAACCTTCATTGTCACCATCCCATTCAAAGTGGATTTCCTGTCCCAGTTCGAGCCAATCTCCTGGAATCTCCCATTCAATCTTGAACCAGAAGGTTTTCCATGAAGGGCCAAAGGAATTGCCTTTATTGGTATCTTCCCATGGCAAATTCTTAAAGTCAAGATCTTTGAAAAGTGGCCTTTGAGTCTTCCCATCAACATCGTCAGGGACCTTGAACACCTTTAAATTAACCCACTCAGTGTTAGTATCCAATCTCCCCTTATCCCAGAAATGAGGTAAGTTGAGATCGCGATACTTACCACCTCTGTCAATGAATTGTCTTAGCCTTTCTTCAAAGAGGTGGTCAACCGGTTTGAAGTTTGGCTGCAATGAGTATTTAGGGTATTCCTTACCGGAAGGAACATCACCGAAATAAGAGTCCATACTAAATAGAAATAGGAATTGCTATGAGTGAAGTAAAACCGGAGTTGATTGTTAATATGAAAGTAATTTCAGTGTGTAAGAAAGGAGAAAAGAAAAGAAGTAGTTAAGAATAGAGAGAGAGAGAGAGAAGAAGAAGAAGAACAGGTATCAGGAAAAAAAAGGCGGGGGTGGGTTTATAGGGGATGTGCAATGCTGTGAGGCGCATAAAGTCTGTGAATTTTGGAACGTGCAACACCATGACATAATTAGAAGGAGTCTACCAACTCCTATAGATCAGTATATACAGGTGCCAGAAGGAAGCAATTTCAGTTTGGCACCAGTAAATAGGTACACTATTTCGTGCGGAATACTTAATTAGGTAAACCGAATGTCCCAAAGAGGTAATCAGGTGAAAAGCGATAGATAGAAGAAGGATTTGGCACATACTGGTTACAGGTTATTTCTACTTGGTATATCCGTTTGGCTAACCGAGTTCGAAAGCGTGCTGTTCTCTACTACAGCAGGCTCTGGCCAGTTGGTTATTTTTGTTCTCCACCTTTGCTTTAACCTCTTGGCTAGGGTGTCCCATCTTATTCATGACCCCAGGTTTTTCCATATGCGGGACGGAAAGCCTGACCTGCTCTCTCTTAGGAGAGGGAAGGATCCCTGCGATACTGGGATATAGTGAGACTGCATATAGTCGATAACGAAGGCTACAAACACTACGGCGAGCTATGGCAGGGTAGACTCTTAAAAGAGACTACCAGTTGAGCTGATCTTGCACGGTTTTAATCTGTAATACATATATTCTTTTGATCTAAATGAACTAAATACAATTTCCTTCATCGCAATACGAAAGAGCACGCAAAAGTTGCCCATACACTCTAAAATATAATAATAAAAATACTGATACTGATACTGGTACTCGTACTGGTATATTAAAAATAATATGAAGAAATGTCTATACTACCGGTAGCACATTGAAAGAAAGAAAATCACACTGTAAAATAAATGCCTAATAATCCTCTATTCAAACCATCTTAAATTGGTTGAGTCTTGACTTCACCATCTTCTTCAATGGAAGCAACATGTTCGTGTTCACCAATTGCTGACGAGTGCACTTCTGGTAACTTCGCAGTGAAGCCCTTGATAAGTGAGAACTCATTGACAATTGATCCTCCAATGCTACTGATCTTATCTTTAACTGAGGAGACGTCAGCATCGGTGGCCGAGTCCTTTAAAGTAATAATGTAATCCTTCAATCCTGACATTGTGTAATATAATCTTTTTAATTCTTTTCTAATAGCGAAATAGTAATCTAATCAGAAAAAAGGAGAAAAGAAGAAAGAAAAAAAACTCTTCTAAAAAATTTAAGGAGGTTAGGCTTGATCTGACGTTTTATAATATTCATGATAGGCAAGGAGGTGGTGGATTAGCCAGTTGCCACCTTGTCACGTGACGTGAAGAGAGCAAGCATATTGTTTAGTGTTGCGTTGCGAGTCAGTTAAGGGCAAAATTGTGGCAAGGGCAACCTGAGGAGGAAGATAGGAAGCGGCTGAACCCGAGCGGGAAGGCGAAACCTGCAAGGGAATACCTGGGTCGTTCTTTAAGAAACCAAGAGTTGGTGATCAGGAGTAATGTTTCTGCAACTGAGCTAGTTGAGGGCTCTCCAAAAATAAAAAAAGAAGCTCCGCGACGGGGAATTGAACCCCGGTCTACCACGCGACAAGCGGTAATTCTAGCCACTAAACTATCACGGATGATTTCTGACTTTTTTTCGCTAAGAATCATGGTACGGAATTTAGAACCGCTTCCTCACTTACTTTTAAACCATTGTGCTTTAGCGGGCCATTCAACGCCTTTCGCTGTGCTAGATTGAAATGCCTCCCATAAGATAGAAAGATAGAAAAGATATTGAAAGGTCAAAGAGAAAGCTCCGCGCGCGACGTGGAATTGAACCCAGATCTACCAGGCGACACACAGTAATTCTAGGCACGAAACTATCAAGGACTGAGTTCTTGGCTCGGCTCGGCTCCTATCTGTTAGTACAGACCCAGAATTCACCAATATCGAAGATATGCAAACGAACATCCCATTACCCAATTTAGAGTCTAAGTCCCAATTTTGATACAATATGCGACTTGTACTTTCTGCAGATTTTAGTTTGGGAGATTTGAGATTATCACGTTTGCTTGCATTTATTCTTGAAAGAGCTAAAATGGGGAGGAACTCTATGTACCTAACAAATTTGGTGAGAATTGAAGTATTACCTGACAAGTAAAAAATACTTCTACTTTTGACTACTTATTTGGACTCAATTTTTTATTAGCTATTCCTCCAATGATAACGGCCCATCTTTACTTCACACAGTCACTCATTTAGGCAGTTCTCTTTTCAGCCGGCTCCTCCCTGTCTTTTCTAGGAAAATGCCTTGTTGACTCCGGATCTCCACTCCCAAAAATAAGATTGTCTTAACTTTTACGAGAATTTCTTACATAAGCACGGAATTACGAGAGCACCCTATCCTTATTACTTAAACATGGGGCTATTTCCATCCCCTTCCCACTTGTTCAGGCGGATTGCAATTTAACTTCACTAAAAAGCCAATTTTAATCGTGACGTCAAAGAACTAACAACGTTAAAGGGCAAAATGGTTTCACTTCCTCATGATGAAGATACTTCAGACGTACCTGTAGTAGTTGCTTCAAAATTCCGAGAATTGAAACTGAAAATTAATGAAAACTTCAAAACGGCGGTAGGTTTGGCGGTAGTACTTGTGTTACTCCTCGTACTTCTCACTACCAACACGCTTGCATACGCAAAAATAATTTTCCAGCCTTTGAATGATGCATCTATTTGCCCCGTTTACGATGTTATCGCTCCTGCTGCTTTCAAGTTAGACAACTCTTCCGCGGTGACTATTATCAATGATGAAAAATTTAGGTTGCAATCGATTAGTAAATTATCGAAAGCTGTTCAGGTTGATACTACTGTATACGATAACCAACCAGATGTTGATAAGGAACCTGAAACATGGTCTCAGTTCAAAGAATTCCATAAATACTTGAAGACTACGTTCCCTACAGTGTTTGCCTTGTTGGAAGTAGACTACGTGAATACTCACGGAATTGTCTTGTACTGGAAGGGGTCTGACCTGGCATTGAAGCCAGTTATGTTGACTGCGCACCAGGATGTTGTTCCGGTACAGAAGGATACATTGAAAGACTGGTCTTATCCTCCATTTGATGGTCACTACGACGGTACCTGGGTCTACGGCAGAGGTTCTTCAGACTGTAAGAATATCTTGGTTGCAATTATGGAAACTTTAGAATTGCTAATTGATCAGAAATTTAAACCCAAGAGGGGTATAATAGCTGCTTTTGGTTTTGATGAAGAAGCTTCAGGTATTCAAGGTGCTAGACATATCAGTAAATTTTTGGAAGAAAAATTTGGTAAGGATTCCATATATGCAATTGTAGATGAGGGTTCTGGAGTGACCAAGGACGCTACTACGGGACAAGTTATCGCAGTAGCAGCTACAGGAGAGAAAGGTTATGTTGATATCAATGTTAGTTTGACCACTCCTGGCGGACACTCATCTGTTCCACCTGACCATACACTGATTGGTATTATGGGAGAATTAGCTCACTTGATTGAACTGGACCCATATAGCCCCATTTTGACTGCAAAAAACCCAATCTTAGGGTACATGCAATGCTTGGCAGTGAATACTGGTGATAAATTGCCTCTGCTTACCAGAAAGGCTATTTTGAGAGCGGGTTTTGACAAGTTTGCTAATTCCAAGCTCGTTGAAGTGCTTGGAAGGGAGCCATTAACCAAATACTTAATTCAAACCTCCCAGGCTTTGGATTTAATGATTGGTGGAGAAAAGGCAAACGCACTTCCTGAAAACGTTCAATTGACTGTGAACCATAGAATTTCTATTGAGTCTTCTGTGGAGGCAGTTCAAAAGGTTTTCACTGAGAGAGTACTCGAAGTAGCACAGAAATTTGATTTGGGACTTGAAGCCTTTGGTAAGGATGTTAGAAGTACAAAGTCCAAAAATGGACATTTTAATGTTGACTTTTTCAGTCGTTCTTTGGAACCAGCACCAATCTCCCCATCTACTGGATCTGTGTGGAAGTATCTTGCAGGGGTCACAAGACATGTATTTGAGGACTTGGTTTTCACCGATTTGGACTACCCAATATTCCTTGCCCCAGCCGTTATGCCTGCTAACACTGATACGAGGTACTATTGGAACTTAACCAAGCACATCTATAGATACTCTCCATTTTACACTGAAGATGTGATGCATGACAGTCGCATCCACAGTGTGAATGAAAGAATTAAAGCAGACTCCCATTTACAGGTGCTTGCTTTCTTCTATGAGTACGTGCAAGCCATTGACACTGCAGATGCCGGTTAAAAGAACATCGATCAAGAGCGAAAAGACATAGAAATAAGTAAACGTTCAGCTATATAAATCAAACTGAATTTATACAAAACAATATTGAATACACGAAAATCCACACAATTATTCTCGATAATTTATGATTTTATTTGTAATATCTAAAAGTACATTATACGGGGTGATAAGACACCCACGGCTATATATTCAACCTTAAACCTCCCTCACTCTACTATATTTCTCAGCTAATAGGAGATAATATCGAAAAAAAGAAAAGAAAAAAAAGTTGAACCCAAAAAAGTTTCCCACTAGCTTCTCTCTATTTGATTTCTCAGCTACATATTTTAATGCCTTTGTCACTATACACCAAAGATCATCTGTGAGCAGCAAGTGCTCTCTACGATTGTCCTCATTCTCTTCTCTTTATTTCTTCTTTTTTGCATTTCCACATTAAGACCTCGCTCCCTAATTGATGTCTTTCTTTTCCAACGGATTATAACGCAAGAATTTTTCAATCAAGTCAACATGGGTCAACACCATTCTTCTACAGCAGTATCTCTTCAATTTCAACTTATCCAACGCATCACCTTCGGTCATGGTATCATCCTGTAAGTATTCCAAGTATGACTCCCATTTGTCACCAACCACTTTACCACAAGAAAAACAACGGATAGGAATAATCATGATGTACTATAATTTGATACGAGTGGACTAACAAAGAACAGTTCCTGTTAGTAATCCTTCGACCTTTCATCTCATTTCGTTTTTTTTTTTCCGTATGATTTTTTTTTCCACACTCCCACCACCAAAAGCTATGCACTTCCTGTATGCAAACTCATCGGTTACACAAAGTGCTTCTTTTGTATGGAGCAGGAAAAAAAAATTATTCTGAAAAAGACGCTTAAGTGATGAGATGGGATAGAGAAACAGTGAAGGTATCTCCATAGTTATTGAATTATTGCCATATTTTTCTTGTAGTTTAATATGACAAAGTCATCTTCAGAAGATTGGTCGAAAAAAATGGCTTCGGGCGGCAAGCCCCTCTGGATGAGCTCACCGTCTGGATCTACCACAAAGTTTTCCACAGATGGCAAGTACGCTATTGTCCTCATGACGTACGAGATCAGAGTATACTTTATAGGCACCCGCCAATGCATCCGTACTATTAGTCTTGACTTGCACGGTGTAATTGATTCATATTTGGACCCCCAGGATCCAAACCAGCTTATCCTCTTCAAGAACGATGGAGAAATCATAACTGTTAACTGGAAGGACAAGATTTCGCAGCCAATTGTATCCACTCAACTGGTGGCCCCTACCACGGGCACTTCAATTTCAATCTTGTCTATAGTTTCCGTTCATAGAGATTTCCTCTACTTGATCACCGGAAAGAACACATCAGCATCGTCTAACTCTTCAAACTCACCATCTGCATCTATATCTGCTCACACTCGTCATATAATAAAGGTGAATAGAGCGTCACAGGAAATCTACGAGGTCTTGGAAGTGGCCAACGTAACCAAATATGCCATTTCGCTCAACAAAAAGAAGGTGTGCTTCGTTACCAGTAACCACGAATGTGTCTTGGTTGATATGGCCTCAGTCTTGTACGCCAGTGAAGTAGAAGCAGAAGAGGTAGGTGCTGGAAATGTTTCCAAAGAAGTCATTCCATTTGCTTATAGATCACCAATTACCTCTTTGGCTGTCTCAAACGAGTCTGTGGTGGCCATTGGTACCATGGCAGGTGCCATCCAAATTCTCTATGGAGGAATTACTGAAAATAAATCCCAAAGATTGCTAAAGTGGCACATTGATCATGTCAGGTCTTTGCAATTCACCCCCGATGGTAGCTATCTTTTATCGGGAGGGTTGGAAAAGGTATTAGTCTTCTGGCAATTGGACACTGATAAGACCCAGTTCTTGCCAAGATTAAATGGTACCATTGAAAAAATATCAATTGACATTAATAAGCCCGACTTCTACAGCTTGTTGCTCAAAATTCCAATCACCAGGGGCTCAGATAAGGATGAGAACGACAGCAACAAAAATAACAGCAACGCCAACGGTAGTATCAATAATGGCACTTTCAACAATACTAATAACGAAGAAGATGACGAAGAGGCCTCCTACGAAGTGCTTGTTGTATCTGCAGTTGACTTGGTATCAAGACTTTCTGTGCATGGTATCAGACCAAAGTTTGCCAATAGTAACATCAAAAGCACCTTAGCGAAGACTAAGAAAAGGTTTTCCAAGTTGAACAACGACTACGACGTTTCTAAATTGAAGCACGATTATTCTTCAATTTTCGAAGTTCATCCTAAGACTCAACAATTATATTTCCCAAGAGGTGCAACAATACAAGGATACGATTTGATAAGAAATGAGCAGTCGTTTATTCAAAATGCTGCTCCATTACTAACTACTGGTAAAGTGAGATCAGAAAGTAAATTGATAGACCCAGAAATTTCCAGTTTATCATTTTCGTATGACGGTCAATGGATGTGTACATTTGACACTATTTCAACTTCTGAAGTGGACAATTTGATATCCAAGAACGACCTGCAATATGCATTGAAATTCTGGAAATTCATTGATACCAGTAATACCTCCACAAACACTCCTACTTCAGCAGGCTCTGCCTCATCTACTGGACACTGGGAACTTTCAACAAAGATAATTGATCCACATGGTCCTTCCAATCCTATATTGTCGATTACTGCTGCACCACTGAATTACCACAATGGGCTCGCATTCTTGACTGCTGACAATAAAGGAGGATTAAGAATCTGGAGGCCCAGAATTCCAAAGGAAATCTATCAAAACATGAAACTGGCAAATAACAGTAAGCTTCAACAAACAGCATGGACTTTGAGAAAATCAAAACCATCTGGTGCTCTTGTATCCAATGCAGTGAGTACATGTTGGTCTGAGGATGGCTCGATTATCATATTGGGACACGAATGCTCTATTACTGCATTCAATACTCATACTTTGGAAGAAATTACCCAATTCCAAATTCCTGCGATGTCTGGTTCAAGAATCCGTTCCTTGTCTATTTTAGGAAACTACTTAATCGTTCTTTCAAAAACAAGAATCACAAGTTTTGATTTGCTTTCAGGAACCTTCACGCCATTGTGTGCAAAGGTTAACACGACTTTGGGGGCTAAAAACTTGATTGCAATTGATAAGATAAATGAGTTGGTTTGCTTGGCGGTTAATTCTTACAAAGAAAACAAAGAATCAAATCAACTCGTAATTAACTCTAAGATCTTAGTATTCAAGCCTGACCAATTAAAACCTGTCTTCAGTGTTCATCACGACCAAGGTATTTCATCCATTCGTCAATTCCGCTCACTGTTTATCTTTGTTGATTTGAATAGTAGAGTAGGTGTTGTTTCATCTTCTACCTTATCAGCTAAGGAAAATATTGAAGGTGAAGATTCTGATTTGTCAAATGACATGAGTAAGATGTTGATCCAAGCACAAGCGGCAGCCGACATTGTAAATAGCAGAGCTGTTTCAACTACTTCTAGGTCTGCATCTACTAGCAATGTTAGTAATGGACATGCTGATGAAGAAACACAATTCGACAGAACAATTGACATCAATACCTTTCAACCAATCTTTGAGAACTTGGATGGTGTACAAATCGATTCTTTGTTTGATAAAATTGTTAAAATTATTAAATAGAGCCAAAATCAGCATTAATTTTATAATATATATGTATATTAATCAAAAGAATAAAAAAACTAAAAAAAACCCTGTGGTTACTCTATATACATGTGAAAACATTATCATTATTAAAAAATTACCAACCAAATATGGAATCTTGCTTATTCTTATTATTCTCCTTTGCAATCTGACCAACTTTAGTTCTTTGTATTGCCAATACTCCCTCTATTTTGTTCAAAGCAGACTCAAGAAGATCCTTCCTCTCTTGTAATTCAATGTGCTTCTTTATTTTTGGGTCTTCCTTTGCAAAAGTTTCAATTTCCTCACTGGTTAAGTTGTTAAAAAACTTCACATCTAATTCACGTGGAAAGTTATAGTAGAAGTCACTCAAAAGCTCAACATTCAAAAACAAAATTGCTGTAGAAGTAAGCTTAGTGCAAACAGCATCAAGAAATATTTCTGGACATTGATACTTATTCTCCTTCTTTTTGCACTTTTTGGAATTCTTAATGAACTGATATCTCATCTCTAACAATGACAATCTGTCCTTTAAGAAGTTACCATATTGACCCTTTTGAATAAGATTTGATGAAAATCCAAGAGCTTCGTTCAGATTGAAATCAATCTCACCAACTTGTTGTTGGCTCAATTTTTCCAAGTATGACATGACTTGCTTCAATTTCTTCCCACCTATTTGCTTTTTCAACGATTGAAAGTCTTCGTCACATTGTTTGATCTCCTCGCCTAGTAACTGAACAGCATTGTCCTTACTTGTATTCCATTCTCTATCTTCAATTTCGATTTCATATTTATAGGGCTTAATGCAATTTTCTACTTGATCAGCAGTGGAATAGAATTTTGCTGATAATACAGCCTTTGCTGCATCGCTAACTGCGCTCTTGGCCAAGGGATGATTCCTAAGTTGAGTCGTATCAACTAAGTTCCCTATTTCAGTAATAAGAGCACTGGTAACTAAATTTGTCGACAATCTACCAACACCCAATTTGGTCAAAGAATTGGTAGCAAGATCTAATTTTTTATGCCAATACACATCATCATCGATATTTGCTATTTGAGATAATTCTCTCAAATTTGGTTCAGAAGTGTTGATATCTTTTTTCAAAGTAGAGGGTTTGTTCCAGTATCTTTCGGCCAATAAATCTAAGACCTTTTGATCCAACTCATTCTTAAGTAACGACTTCAATTCCTTTCTGGAAAAATTGTGACTCAATTCTTTTGTGGCCAATTTCAACATGTCAATATTATTTGCCAAGTACATTTGTGGGGTTAATGGTCTATCGTTGAATTCAACTTTAAATTGGTATGATGCTTCTTCTAACTCTTGCTGAATAGCCAAATGTGTTGGTCTCAACGAAGATGCCATTGATTTTTCCAAAACTTTCATTAACTTCTTCTTCAAATTTTTGGTACCTGTAGTAGTACCAAAAAAATCTTGCTTATGTTCCTTCAAATAGGAAAGTTCAAAGTTTTGTTGTAAGACAAATGATTGGTAAGAGGAAACCTGCTTCCTTGAAAAGATAGATCCGTTCTTACCACCAGCATTGGGAGCTTTAGTAATGACCCCTACATATCCCATTTTTAAAGGATACTTCCTGTTGGTCAAAATATCTCTAGCTCTCTCGGGTTTTACCAAATCCAACTTTGTAACTACTCCAATGGTTCTCTCTCCTCTTGGATCAGCCATTTTAGAGGCTCTCAACGCAGCACTGTTAGCCAAATCGACATCTGCTGCCGAGATAGCCAAAATAATGTTTGGTGCTTCCAAGTATCTATTACACAATTGTCTAATTTTCTGCTTCAATTCAATTGGTTGATCAGCAGCCTCCACTTGAATGTAACCCGGTAAATCTACTAAAGACAAATCAGGAACTCTAGGAGATCTGATAGTGATCTGGATCGGGTCGTTAGAAATACATTCAGTTTCCGGCACAGCCATATTAAGATCAAATAAAATCTTTTGAACTTCTTCGAAGTTGGTTAAATTGTTTAACTTCAAGGCTGGGAACTCGGCCACATCTGCTGCGGTACCTGGCGAATTCACTAAGGTTAACTCTATAGGTCTTCTGGTTACCATATTGGAACCCTTTGGTAAGAATTCCTGACCAACTATAGCCTCAAGAACAGAGGATTTACCACTAGATTGCGAACCAATGACAACGATGGATGGAAGTCTCAAGGTGTCTGTGTGGTCTACCGTGAGAAGCAAATTTCTAATTTCAATCATTTGACGAGTAAGGTTAAGCATTTCATCGTCTGTCTCGTCCTCCTGATCATCGTCGTCATCGTCGTCATCCAAGAGAGTGGCTTCTTCGTCTTCCTCTTCCTCTTCCTCTTCGCCTTCCTCTTCCAGCTTTTCGCTTTCATCGTCGGTGGAAAATCCAACAGCAGCAGCAGTTGCTCCTACAGCCGTGGCTGTATCTCCTCCGTCTCCTCCTCCTCCACTTCCACTGCCACCAGAGCTCCCATCACCTGCCAAGCTTTCACCAAATCCCTTGATTTTGCCAAACAATCCATCCGCAAAATCTTTGACACTAGACAATTTGTCATTGGTATAGGACGACGCTTGGTCTACCTTATACGCCACATAGCTTCCACCAGCGGCAAAAGTTCCACCAATGTATACCGGTAACTTCACCACTCTAGTTGCCATCTTAAGGAAGCTGATATTTCTGACACCATTCACCGCACCAGCCCCTGCTATATGTGAAAGAGGACTGTGCAAAGCTTGCACCCTGGCTGAGGAGTTCAACATGGAGAACATCCTTTGTGAGATTATTAGCCTACTGACTTTGTAGGGCTGTTCTCTCCCCGTGGAGAGTATTCGTGACAATCCCGCCTTCATCATTTTGATACTCAATATCAAATACAAAAGACTAGATTCAACACAAGAACGATGTTGGCTTGTCCTCTGTCTTTGTATTGAATTGGATCACTTAGGGTCCAAATTAGCAGAGCTGCCATAAAGTGGCGAGGTCCTGCATATAGTGCGAGTTAGCAAACAAGAAAAAAAAATAAAGTCAATGCCTCTTGCCAGAATTGAACTAGCGACCTTTGCATTACAAGTGCAACGCTCTACCACTAAGCTAAAAAGGCTATTAACAATGGGCTATTTGATTTATGGTTATATACACAAATATGCAAGAGTAAGGCTGGGAATACAGCGCTAGCAGAGTAAGGTGCTAGCAGATGAAGGTGCTACCCGTACACGGTAAGACTCCAACAGTGTGCAGTTTGCTGGGTTGGCTAATTGCCTAACTTCATTAAACAGTTTCAGTACAGGTATAATCAGATCGCTAATATTCTTAGATCTATTTTTCAAACTCTACAATTCAGCTAGGTGCTTCCAGCATTCCAGTCAGGTATCCTACATGAAATCGCAGACTCCGCTGCACCCTGGCAATTACCACTTTAAATGCTACCACAAAACTGTTCTTCCAGTGCCAGTACTCTCTTCCATTTCATTGCTGCGATATAAAATTATAAAATATGGACAAACAAATGAAATAATATGAACTATATTCCCAGCAGCTATATTATTAGTTACTCAACTAAGGTTACACAACTTGTAGACTATCTGCCTGAATGGTGAAGCAAATTTCTCGAGAATGGTACTTCATCGCTCAGTTCCCAGCCCAGAAAATCCCGGAATCCGAGACGGCTCCCAAATTCATCGTAGACGTACAACTAACTATACGTTCCGTAACTGCAGTGTTGGAACAGAAACTTCCCTCAAGAGGACTACAGAGTACCCACGGGTAAATACCCACGGATAGATGAGGAAATGCTGCAATGCATCCTTTGTAGAGATGCACCACGTGATGGCATCTCTCTGTTGCACTTGAATGTCTCAAACAAGGTTGCGAAGCCTGTAGGTCAGCTGCACGGAAGATTAAATTCGTAAATTAATCCACGGATACTCTTCCTCAGTCGACATTAAATTTAAAAATAGCTCACATCGAAGAAACTTGCCATCAACGAATACTCAAGAAGACGCCGACGACGCATAGCGTGGTGTATAAATCTTAGTCTTCTCAATATCTGAATTTAGTTTATTTTTATGTACGCATCGGAGCTAATGTTAGAAGATCAACAATGAGTTACTTTTCTAGTTCTAATCTCTTTCATATAGATGCTAAGCATCAAGCTAGATATTGCATCGGACGAGATAATTCATTCCTTTGACACTGCTTGAACACTTAAGCTTAATTCTTTTTGTTATGCATTAGAGCTGTGTTCGCACATCTACAATGAGCTCATTCTTCATTCTTCAATGCTGGGATATGCATAAATTAGTATGGTTCACCTCCCTTTAATCTCTGCATGAGCGTTTAAGTTTAATCGGCGCTAAATTAAAGTATCGAACAATGGATAGGTTTTCATTCTTAATATTGGTTTTTCTTGAGGTTTCTTATCTTTCTTTTTCAATCGTCGTTTATCGTCAGTTTGGGTACATTCACCAACAATTAGCCCAGCTTGGACGTTAAGCAGACACCTTTTATCTTGAGTCCGTTGCACCATCGGATAAATACCCGTGCCAAGATATCAGTCTGGGTCACAATTGCATCTCCAACAATGTTATTAACCTTAATAACAATGTACTACATTTTAAACAACGGAACTACTGCTGAACCACTTCTCAAAAAGTAAATCACCTTTCATCTTGAGTCCGTTGCACCATCGGATAAATACCCGTGCCAAGATATCAGTCTGGGTCACAATTGCATCTCCAACAAAGTTATTAACCTTCATAACAATGTACTACATTTTCAACAACGGAACCGCTACTAAACCACTTCTCGAAACGCAAATCCAGGATCAACGTTAATCTCGCTTGGTCCTATAGCTGCTTTGAGCAAAGAATCACTGGCGCAGAGAGCCGCAATTCACGAATTTTTCACTCGACTACCTACATCTCAAATTGATGGTTCTACATTGGAAGCACATCATTGATATCACTAATTTCTTCTATTCTCAATTCTCCAGTAGCAATACACTGATCCATGTTCAACAACCCCACCCAAGAAACCCAAAATTTCAATGTAAACTCCTCATTCTTGTTAATCCGGACTTTGCTAGACCAATTCATTGTAGCCTTTAGGTCGCACACCCCACATTTCAAGATTCTCTGCATCCGTACACTGAATTTCAGTGATATCTCACATAACTCTACAACTAACACATCTCCTTTCTTCACTTTCTTGCCCCCCACTATCCCCTTCCCACAGATCTGCCATTTGTTGCCTTTTGGCTCATAAGCGTCTAACACTCCTGTGACAAATCTGTCTGTTAACTGAAACATTCGAATGACCTTTTGTTTCCTGCACACAGTCTCAAACATACTGAAAAGAAAAATTTAAATATGGAAGGGATGGAAGTGAAGAAACGAAATTAATAATCAAGTTGTTTCTTCATCTACATCTGACTATTCTTCAAGGTTGATATCTAAAAGCATCTTTCTGTATATTATAAGGGGTAATATACTGACTAAGACGGCACGGGGAACTTATAGCAATACATTTTTCCCATATTTAGAGAGACAATAACACTCTGAACGGTATATTAAAAAATAGGGAAGTAATACAAACAAAAAAAGAGGCAAAAGCATAGGCTACTATAGAAAGGCTAGTGAAAGGTATTATTTTTGATTACTTATTTTAATTATCATGAGCGTCTCTGTTGAAACTGCTGAAGACCAACCATTCTTGGGTCCCAACTTGAACATCACACTTACTTGTCCCGAATGTAAGATCTACCCTCCAGATTTGATTGAAAGATTCAGCGAAGGGGATATAGTGTGTGGGAGTTGTGGATTGGTATTGAGCGATAGAGTAGTTGATACAAGATCAGAATGGAGAACATTCTCAAACGATGATCAGAATGGTGACGATCCAAGCCGTGTGGGTGACGCTGGTAATCCTTTATTGGATACCGAAGATTTGTCTACCATGATCTCGTACGTGCCTGAAAACACCAGGGTTGGTAGAGAATTGAATAGAGCACAGCTGAAGTCTCTTGTTGACAAGAAGGATAACGCCTTGTCTGCAGCGTATGCAAAGATTTCACAAATGTGTGATGGTTACCAACTCCCCAAGATTGTACAAGACGGTGCCAAAGAAGTGTACAAGCTAGTTTACGATGAAAGAAGACTCAGAGGAAAATCTCAAGAATCTATCATGGCGGCCGCCATCTTCATTGGATGTAGAAAGGCATCGGTAGCAAGAACTTTCAAGGAAATTTGGGCTTTGACCAACGTTCCTAGAAAGGAAATTGGGAAGGTGTTTAAGATTATGAATAAGATTCTTCAAGAGAAGAATGAGGCAAACCCTAATGCTTACTCATTGATTCAAGATAACATGCAAACCACTCAAACTTCTGCAGAAGATTTGATTAGAAGATTCTGTTCTCATTTGGGTCTTTCCACTCAAGTAACCAATGCTGCAGAATACATTGCCAGACAGTGTAAAGAAGTGGGTGTATTGGCTGGTAGATCACCAATTACCATTGCTGCCACTGTAATCTATATGGCTGCATTAGTATTTGGGGCTGACTTGCAACCTTCAAAGATTGCGGAAAAGACTGGGGTGAGTGACGGAACCATAAAGACGTCATATAAGGTGATGTACGAGGAAAGGCAGAAATTAATTGACCCGTTATGGATTGAGAGTGGGAAGGTCAAATTGGAGAACATCCCAAAGACATAGGTTTAATCGGAAGAAGAAAAAACTGAACAGTAGATTCGAAAGTACATAAAAAAGGCAGCAGAAGAGGCACAATTAAGAAGTATACTCAGAACGATGGTGAATTCGTGCAGTGAGCTTCAATATGTCCTTCTTGGTTGACCGCTTCGAGAAAATCTCGAATGGGGCTATCTATGGCGCCCATATCGTATTCAATTGCCTTGTCGGTAGTGGTACTATAATATTAGACGTGTCTAACTTCATTGAACGAGCGTCTCCTTGTCAAGGATACGTTGATGAGCCACGGCAATGTTGTTCTAGGTCAATAATGTCTCAAAATGATCATATGCCACACCGCCGTACCATTCTAGCTATACACGACAGGGCTCTATTATCTCTTTTTTCTTTAGTTGTGTATAATGCGAAAAATAAAATAAACATTAATATCACTAACCAGATTGTTTACTTTTCTGATGGGCTCTTGTAGTTTGTTTGATTGCTCTGTCACTTCGGGGTTAAAAATATGTCAAGCTAGATTACATGCGAGTGCAGATGCATAATGTGAATAATCAAGATAATCATTGATGTCATTAAGCAGCATTGCTCTGTATCCTAGTGGGCCCTGTAGTTTGCTTGCTTAATCTCTTCGAGGCTGAAAATGTGTCAAACTTTGATTACATACGAATGCAGGTGCATGCACATAAGCCGCGCAATGGTTTCTTTTTTTGTTCATCTTAAATCCCCCTTGCTACCCCAGAGTTAGCAAGCTCCTATCTTGAGATAGTAGGAAGTAAGTTCTACTGTTCCCAAGTCTTACGATATGAACGAGACTGACAAAGGACAACCATTCTTAGGTCCGAACTTGAATGTCACGCTTACATGTCCCGATTGTAAGATTCATCCTCCAGACTGGATTGAGAGATTCAGCGACGGGGACATTGTTTGTGGAAATTGTGGCTTGGTGTTGAGCGAAAGAATAATTGATACAAGGTCCGAATGGAGAACATTCTCCAATGATGATCAAAACGGGGAAGATCCGAGTCGTGTGGGAAATGCCGGTAATCCTTTGTTTGATTCCGAAGACTTGTCCACCTTGATATCACATGTACGTGGAAAGAACAATAGAGAATTGAACAGAGCACAGCTTAAATCGGACAAGAAGGACATCACCTTGTCCGTAGCGTATGCAAAGATTTCGCAGTTGTGCGATGGCTATCAGCTCCCTAAGAATGTGCAAGATAATGCCAAGGAGGTTTATAAGTTAGTTTATGAAGAAAGAAGTCTCAGAGGAAAATCTCAAGAAGCCATTATGGCAGCAGCTATTTTAATAGGATGCAGAAAAGCATCTGTAGCAAGAACGTACAAAGAAATATCGGCCCTAACTAATGTGTCACCAAGAGAATTTGGTAAAGTTGTCATAATCACGAATAAGATTCTTCAAGAAAAGAACGAATTGATTCCTAGCAATTACTCTATTCAAGATAACATGCATACTACGCAAACTTTAGCTGAAGATTTAATCAAAAGATTCTGTTCGCACTTAGGTCTTTCTTCTGAAGTCACCCATGCTGCTGAATATATTGCCATGAAGGTTAAGGAAACTGGAGTTTTGGCTGGTCGATCTCCAGACACCATTGCCGCCACTGTTATATATATGGCTGCAACTGTGTTTGGAACTGACTTATCACCTTCGAAGATCGCAGAAAAGACTGGGGTGAGTGACGGAACCATAAAGACGTCGTACAAAGTGATGTACGAGGAAAGGCAGAAACTAATCGATCCGTTATGGACTGAGAGCGGAAAGTTAAATTAGAGAAAGTACGGGAGGTAAAGAGAGATTTGGAAGCCATAAAGGTAGATGTAGTTACGAATTACGGATTTGGGAGACATATTATGAGATACGAACTATGGGATACGAACTACGGATACGAATTCTGTTATCAGGCTATGTCTAGCAAGATTTCTTAGCATGTCGAATACTGGATTATCGGTATATAATATATAAAGTATACGAGTATAGGTTAATGTGTGCCAGCCTCAAGGCTGTGTCTGGCAAGATTCTTGGGATGGCCAAGGCTGGATATCAGTATATAGGAAGAAATGTTTACCAGTATTCGTTGATGTGCACCAGCCTCAAGGCTATGTCTTACAAGATTCTCGGGATGGCCAAGGCTGGGTATCAGTATATAGTAGAAATTGTATACGGTATATTCTATTATGTAAGGCTATGCACACCAAGATTACTTCTAGGTCATTAATGTCATTTATAAGCGCAAATACACAGGAACTGAAAAGAAAAGCTTTTTTTTCTTGAATCATTTCTAAGTCCCGTTCCTTGTAGTCGAAGCTGGAGATAAAGACGTCTAATGTGTAAATTGTCCCGGACTAAATCAAACGATTTGCAGAAAGAGCTTAGTGTGGCCTGACTCGATCAGATATACATTCTCATTTGTGCATTACACGGCAGATCTTCAATAACATGCGCTCCTCACTCTTTCCTAAAGCACTGCTGGTAAGCTTTTGTAAGCCTTCTCGTATATTACGTCCGATTCTATGTGCTGCACATCAAACTGTGTCAAATCTAGTAGATTCTTCTGGCTATGGTCCGACTTATACAAGTTTAGTATGAAGATTATGAACCCTTATGGACTGATCGCATGCATGTCCCCACATGATTTTATTTATTTTATCACCGTTTGCTGCACATACACTTGACATTTGCATATTCACTAACCCCATACTTTCATGCTCACCGGCAATACTCCTACCACCTCATGATCAATCCAAGTAAGACGGAACGCGTACAAGACATGACAGGTACCAAATAATAAAGTCTAAAATGCTACGGATATTAGATCAGGAATCCAGAAGGAGAACTCGCAAAACTCGTCCGAGAACTGCTCTTCGGACGAAGGCGGATTTAAGCTAAATCCTAACATCTCGGCTTTATTCCTGCACGGTACATGCATAGAATTTCAGCTTTATTGCCGAACCTTGAAACGAGATGCAGCAACTCCGACGTGTACAGCACCTTGCTAGACATTGCTTGCTACACTCAAGACTTCAGTAATAAGCACATTGCTTTCAAGACTCTAGATTTCAGTAGCAAGCAGCAAGATAGCACCATTCCTTGTTCTACATGATAAATTATTATTATTCTAGATTGCATGTATGGGTCTATAAAATTTGCTAAACTAAATAAATAAAAAAAGCCAATAAAAAAAAATGCAGTGTAAATCGTAAGCTCGTAAGATATCGGGTATCATCAATCATAATATATGTGTGTAAACTGTGTGAAATCATAATATAGACTCCATGCTCATGATGGCATTGTGTCTTTGGTGGTTTACATGTTGGTGATTGAGATGCGGTATTTGGCCATGTTGCATGTGGTCAGACTTGTAGTTTGACTTGAACAACCTTCCATCTATGGACTCTTGATATCTAGGCTTATAATATTGGCTAGAGTGTTCTAATTTGTAGTGTTCAGATTCGAAATCTTCGTCATCTGAAAGTGACAAACTGCGGCACAATCCAGGGACACCATTGTCATTTACTTCTTCTTCATCATCATCGGCCGTTTGATCATCTGATACATCCGATTCGTCTTCGGCTTCTTCTTCTTCTCTGATAGGTGAAAGATAGTGAAGGTTGACACTTGGAAGTTCCTTAAACATGGATTGAGTGGCACCAGCAGAACGTCTCAATTGGTCTAATGCCTCAGCAGCACCGTATTGTGCAGAATCCGTTCCCTCAGAGATTTCTTCGTCATCTGAGCTGTAGTAGTAGTCTGAGTCTGAGTCTGAGTCGAAGTCTGAGTCCTCACTGTCTGAATCAGATTCGACTTCGTATTCAGCAACGCTAGTGTGTAATTGGCGGCCTCTGGAAGTAGAAAGGTCAAAGCTAACACGTCTTGATTGGCCAACTTCAAATTCTTCTTCTTCTTCCTCATCTTCGGAGTCGCTTTCGGTGTCGCTATCACTGTCAATGGCTTCTTCGTTGTCTTCTTGCATAGAAACGGCACGTAACTTTTGGTTTCTCTTTGCCGTTTCTGTGGCAATGTGATCCATCAAGTTGTCAAGCATGTTCGCTTGTGTTACCAAGACACGAAGACTCGACTTTGGGTTGGAGGCTTCCTTGGTGAGCTTAGATCTTACTCTAGAGGCGAGTATATAAGACTGAGCAAATGTCATAGAGGCAGACATTGTATCTGTTGTTATAATTTAATATGTTCAGCTTAAACAGTATTAAAAGTAGGCACTGGTAGGTGTCCGGTATATAGTAGGGGCAAATAGGAGTTTTTTATTTTTTATTCTAGTACGTGAATACCGAATAAGGTAATAGTCAAGGGCTTATTTATGAAAGAATTCTTAGATACTATACAAGTTGCTACTGTAATTGTATCCTAGGAAAGTGTTTGTACTGTTGTTGTTGGAATAAATCAAAAGTTATCTGGATTATTCAGGACATGTAGACGCCTATATATATTTCAAAGCGGCAGTTAATGCAAAAAATATCTTAGTCATCGGTATGACAAACTAAAGCTTATTTTTTTTTTTTTTTTTTATCTTGTTTCATGCGAGTTTCTTAATGAAAGGTTTCGGATCGGAAATAAATTTGTAATTTGGTGCGAGAATTAACACCGGATATCAGCCGAGCAACATTTGATAAGTCTAGAGTGCGGGACTTCTTGTGGGATGGATAGAATGATGTATGGGGGTGGGTTGCTAGAACATCGTAGTCCGCGATGTTAGTTTCCGGAGAGAGGATTTAGAACCAGGAGGTGAAGAACGAACGATTTTAAGGATTTTAGGTTAACTGCGGATTCAGGCTATATCGACACAGAACTTCTAGGTAGTGAAAGAATAAGGTTTTATGATCATGGTTTTTATTTGCAATTTTGTCCCAACCACAGCTCTGTTGTTGTTGACTGACTATCTGAACCCAAACTTCGTCTACTAAGAGAGGTAATGGATTTTTAGCTTCCGCTACATACAAACAAAGTCACTCAAGCGGCAGCCACACCTATCTTGGTAGGCCCTGGCAATCCTATGGGGATCTTGTTATATCCGCGTAGCGCTGGAATTGCAGATTTCTTTCTTTTTTCTTTTTTAGATTTTTTATTTCCTTTTTTTTTTTTGATTTTTCACTTTATTTATTTTTTGGTGTGTTTCGTATACATGGCGGAGGTGTAGAATAAGTTCCAGAAGTTCCAGTTTCCGATACGGCTAGATGCAATGGAATAAAGTTGCTCAGCTTCCCTTCGTAGAGAGTTTTGCTCTAGACTGTTGAAGGAGGTGTTGGGCTCATTGGCTTAGTTTCATCCGCAAGACTAAAACCTTGTTCAACTTCAAGAAAGTTGCTCTTACCTTGCTTACTATTCTTACTCGACAAGATAACGCAATAGCTAGAATTTCTATTACAAATCGGTATTATTAATTAACATAGACATTATTTTATGTAATTTTCTTTTTATTTTTATTTTTTTTGTTTTTGCTATTCCCATTATTTCTTTTATTTTTTAATTCTAACAATTTGCGCTTATCTTCAGCTGGAACACTTTTGCAAGCACTAAAACAATAACTTCCGCTCCTCTTTTAGCCTCTACTACGGTTTCAACATAATTGCGACGAAGGGTTTGGCAATTACAACCAGTCAAATCCGTATGTATTATTTTTAAAAAACTGCTCGTCTCATTCTTGGCATACAACCTCTCAGAAATAGAATGAATATCATTCAGTCTAATAACTAGACACTAGAAGCCGTGTACACAATCAAGTGCGTGCAAAATTCATCTTATTTCCTTGCGTCAATTTACAGTTCCATGCACTGGTAAACGGCGAGATGTCACTTATAACTCATACAAGATTTGCGATTACTTCAGCGGAAACGTTATTAACATTTAGCTTACAAACTACTCGTTTCTATCGGTGAATCTTATTTCCTATTTTGCACCTTTATTTTTTCTTTTAAGCCGTGATTTGTAATCGCAAAGTGTATCAGGACTGCACATAGCCCGTATATATACTCTCTTATGTACGCACCTTTTACTAACTTTGGCTCCATATTTAGTAACATTTACTATACTCTTTTCTTGTAAAGTATTGGCCATTTTTTACATCAATGGCATATATCTGCAATATGAGGACAACAAAAGCTGTATGATTTTAAAAAGTGCTCTGTTTGCTTTCCAGCAAGGTAAGAAATCCCAAGTTATTTTTTAATTTGAGAACTACTCATTTAAGCACTGAACAGCTTCAATGTACTGAGCGGAGAATGTAAATTTAGCAGCAGCAGGTTTTTTCAAACCTGGTCCCGGAGCCGTTTCGTTGAGTTACATTATGGGGACCAGGCACACACAGTACTCTCTCTACCTCTCTCTCTCTCTCTCTCTCTCTCTCTCTCTCTCTCTCTCTCTCTCTCTCTCTCTGTGTGTACGTCTCATTTTTTATTTGCGTTTCTGTTTCCCCCTTTCTGGTTTTCTCTTTCTGCATCTCTCCATGTTCTCATGTCGGCACCGATCCCGTATTTACTCCCGTGAGGTTCATGCATACATTCAGATGCGAAAAATATTTGGTGGTTGACATAAAACGGCGCGAGCACGGACCGACGAAAATGAGACATATATCTTCGGATCTAATCACCCTCGCTCTCTAGCGTCTTTCTTTTGAGTCGGTACGGGCAACGGGTATGGCCCTCTCTATCGAATTACAAAGGAATCAGTTGACACGGTAGAATGCTTTCAGATACTTATCTTAGTTTACATTGTGTACTTTCAAGTGTGCATCAAAAGTTAAATGATAGCCAGTTCTTCGAATCTCCGCGGAAAGAAAATGCTACGAGCCGTTTCTGCCGCATAGCGTCTTATTACTAAACCGATGCATATCATTATTCTGAGAAATGTACCAATCCAGGATCTGTAACAATTACTCGCTCAGAGAATATGAATATGTACTAGCTACTATTCAAATACAATTCTGATTGTTTGTAAGGTTTTTGTGTGGAAATTTCAAAAGATACGCTTCAATAGCATGTACAGTGACTAGAATGCTAAATGCTAGTCCCTGCTTGAACTATGAAACTTTAATCTGAAGATCTATATATCCAAATAACTATTTGTTGTTGGGCTGTATTTGACAACATACTTGTGAATTTTCTTGTCCCACATCTGTTCACACTCTAGCTTCATTGTGGCATTGAATCTTGTAGTTGGTTCCAAGTATGTGTATTTTTTGTCAAGTCGCTTCAGCCTTACGTCACTATGATGGAATCGAATGTAAGTTTAGTATTTAAACGAAACCCAATTTGACTAACTACTTCTTTCCTTGCCTCATTACATTTCTATATTTACCATTGTGCACATGGTTGGCCCACATGGTTAGCTTCTAGTTTAAGACACAAATTGTTAGCCGTGGGTTAACTAGACTTTTAGCTGGTGCTTAATTAACCTCAATATGCGCCTCTAATTTAAAAGTTTGTGCAGTGTGAGCTTGCCTCTTACTTTGGTGGTACTTAGCCCTTCGTACCTGGTTTATCTTCATTGTATCCAACATTCGTAGAGATCATTTTACACGGCAGAGAAGAGATAAAAACTGTGGTAACATGGAACGATGTCAGCCTCAAAGAGGCTGAAAATAAATCGAAGAGTGAGCGCCGGCTCATACAGTGGAAATGTGTCAGAATAGCGTCCCATAAGATTTTACTTCTACCGTATATAATCCCATCATTACTAAAAGTACTGTGGCTACTCGGATACTGCCTTTGCTTCTGAAATAAAATATTCAACTTCAGTAATATCACCTACAGTCGAGTGCAACCTGATAGGAGTCTCTGTTGCTCTCACCACCACATATAGGGGTATACCTCTCCCATTGGAGTAGTTGCGCTCTCTTGTGGTGGGGTACGGAACCATTTAGTGTCTCCTGCATGTATTTTCTTGTGACTACTTGTGCAAGAATTAAGAAGTACCCAAGCATTCAATTTAAAAGGACAAGACGCCTTGGAAAATAAAAAATAAATCCGTTAGTAAAAGACATCCCTTCTAGCACAGCGATTATCGACTAGAGCATGAAAGAGAAACAAAAAAATAACGGTACCAGTGTAATTTACCGTAGCCTTACAATTGCAAATTAGAGATGGTAAAGGCAGTGCAATATGCACTCTTCCATATTTCCTATATGCACTACTACTCCCGTCCTACTTTCTCTTACTACAGGGTGGTAACTTTAATCAACTCTATCAAGTAATTTGTTTCATTTATGATACAACTTTATATTTACTCTGTGATGTAGGTTTCCTTACTAGTTTTTTCTGATGTTTTGATAATTATTTTCGGTAATTTTGCTTGCTTAATCGAATAAACCGAATCCCATGTCGTCATCGGATTCTTCCTTTTCTTCTTCAGCGGCTTCTTCAGCAGCTTCTTCAGTGGAACCAGAGGTGGCAGCGGCGGCACCAGCAGCAGCTGGAGCAGATGGACCAGCAGCAGCGAAGGAGAATAATAATTCCTTTAAGTCCTTACCTTCCAAAGCCTTAGCGAAAACGTCAGCCCAAGAGGATTCGACGGTGGCACCGGCAGCAGCGGTGATAGCTAACAACTTTTCGGAGGTGATTTGTTGTTCGGCATCAGCCAAGATTAATGAGGCGTATGATAATGAAGCTTCGGACATTATGTATGTGTAGTTAACGTAAAACGACTATGAAACTGTGTTGGAGGTTTGTTAAATTGAATTTTTTCAGCTTGGGAAAACGAACGGAAAAAAAAAAAATCAATGAAAATTTGTAGTATGCAGGCCGTCACGTGAGCGCGTGTGTCGAAAAAACAGTCACACACATACTAAACACCATAAGTCTGGGGTTGGTAGCGCCGGACTCCCCTCCTCAATTAAAGCTTGACAGGACTGACCTACGCGAAGCACATATGTACATGAACGTATAATATCGACTAAACAAACTATAAACAGGATAAATTATGATAAAAAATTGAGCAGAGCTAACATCAGTCTGTCAATTAATCGTAAGGAAATCAGACACAATTTTCAAAGGTGTTATTTTTTTTTATTCACATTGCAACTTTACTTAGAAGAAAGTCTTAACATCACCTAACCATTTACGGTATTCCTTCTCTTCCTTGTATTCACTGTAAGAAGTAATGAAGTCAGCCAATTCGCTGTTGATTCCCTTTGATTCCAAGTATTCTTCGAATGTGATCTGTAAACTCTCATCTAACATAGAGAAAGATGGACCTCCGTAGTGTACCAACTCTGAGAAATCTCCTTTAGAAGCGTTTTCAAGAAACTGAGTAGCATTCTGCTGGACATTGAAGTGGTCTACAACTAACCCTGCTTCGTTTTCTAAGAACAAGTTTACGAACAAAGCAGTATTGTTAGCCTTGTTCTCGACAATAACCCTGGCATTGCATAACAATTCGTCAATTGCTTCTAACTCACCTTCAAATCCATCTTGTTCGCCTTCTTCGCCGGCCATTTCATTTGGGATATTAGTGACATCATCTACATCAAAGAAAACGTGAAGCACTTCGTTGTCTCCGGACTGCTTGGTTAACTGAACAACTACAGATCCATCTTGTTGGATGATTTCAAATCCGGAATCTTTGATAAAAGATTGCGATTCCTCGTCTAATTTGTTACTGATGTCTGCAATTTCTTGCAACTCGGATTCAAGAACTTTCTTCAAGTTGCTCTCAGATGATGGAGTGGAGAGGAATCTTTGAGCGGAGATGGATGTTCTAACAGTGTTAGCAAGGGCAAACGAGGCACCTCTAAATACGACAGGCTTAGCCAAGTGTAAAGCTGAGCGACGTAAGGTGTTTGATAATAATCTAGAAGACATAATAGGAAGTGTGGGTGCTGTATCAAACAAGTAAGTAGTTTGTAGCAGTTGGTTAGCTAATTTTCATTTTTTCCGTTTATATTTGTGGGATGGATTATGTAAATTGGTGTGCGGGCTCAAAACACACATCGCTGTGGTAACGTTGATGTTGCACATTGAACAGGTAGATATATACTACGAACGTATACGATTGGTAAGGGATAAGCCCGTGGGCTGTTCTAAAAGATGAATGATAGTGAAATTGTAGCAAATCATGTATATTTATCGGAATTTTTACCTCTCTACTTGTTCCCGTCGACTCTCGTATTTCCCTCTTTTCTCGCTCCGTCCTCACCTACTGTGGATTGCACCCATCGTTCTAGTATTTCTTGTTGCTAGTGTTGAACCACGACATAAGAAGACTCAAGGCTCTCGAGATTCAAGTATACTACTCAAAACTTGCTGCAAATATGCATGTTGTCGTCTTAGTGTGGTTTTAGCTCGTTAGATTTATTTTCCTGTGGAACTCTGTCTCTCCACGGTGCACCCATATTCACCCTCTTACTGAACTCTCAAGTTTTGACGCATACACAATAAAGTCTAGAAATAGAACACGAAGCTGAACTGTTCGTCTTACCTTTCCGGAATTGGTAGTTTTGTTCTTATCCCAGCATCTACGTAGAATTTGCTTTGACGAGCAAACTCTTATTTTGCCTCATGTCTTCTTCGCCCGCTTTTCCATTGATAAAGAGTTTCGAAATAAGCTTCTCGAGCCGCACCTTATGCCATGACCTTTATGCTGTTGCATAAACTGAAACACTGGATAACTGCAACTCATTTCCAAGACATATGTCAAAGTCTTCGACAATGCATGAGAGTAATAAACCTTAATTTGCTTAATTATTCTATTTTTAAAGCACCTGAAGCATCGACTGTGGATTATTTCCGCTCTCACCGGACCTACAAGTGTAAATGTACGCCTACATTTCTAAGCCTATTGTTAGAACTATTAATATATTATTATTATTGTTTAATTCAGTAGTCATCTTGCTTTCAAAACAAATACTTCAGAAAATACTAGTGTACATGGAAATTAAGTTGGTATTAATTCCAAAAATAAAAAATGAAATGGTTTCAAATAGAAATTGGGTGAGTGACTTTGCTTTGCCTTTTTTTTAGGAGGGTTTTCTGTAGTTTATAGCATTCGGTTTGTTTTTTGTTTTTTTTAATTAGCTTCTAAGTGCAAATATTAGGTTTCGTAAGGTATACCTTTAACTATCGATAGCTTGGAAATACTCTTGAACAAAAGTGGCTGATCTTCTGTAGCGACGCTCTTGGTATTTTTCAAAGATTGCCTTATGGTGTGTTGGAGCATCACGACAGTTATTCAAGATAACTTCTGCTAATGGTCTCAATTGTAATTCGGTGTAGCCCGAATAAAAAATATGCGCTTCGGTCCATTCTCCTCTATTCAATAATCTTCTTGATAAGTAATGGGCCCCTGCAGCCAACCAACTTGGCTGACTAGCAACAAATCTTGCATCCATAACGGTTATTTCTAAGAAATACTTAGCTAAAGTTCGGGTCTCATAATCATAATCATCAGCTTTACTGGTTCTCCTCAAAAATGACATTGGACCTGGCCATCCTAAATCGAACTCCAACACATCGATCATAAATCGTTCTGCCTTTAGGAAATCATCTATGCTGTAGGCATTATCAGCCATGTATGCAACTTCCTGAACAGTTGGGCAGTTGATCTCTTCATATTTTGCAGCTATAAATAATGCAACGGCTCCAACCAATTGGAATCTTGATAATGAAACTTTCCTCTTACTTAGAAATCTATCTATGTAGTTAACAGTTAAATATAACGTTTCTGGCAATAGATTGAATCTGCTATGAACTTGAACAACCCAGTCTATTAATACACTTCTCATTTCCCACTTCAATTCATCTTGGTTGTTCATATAGTTGGCATCTGGTGCCAATTTGTGTTCGAGCTCATGCATGTAGTTGAATATCTCAGGTGCATACTCTGCAACCATGGTGACATCGTAAGTATCTTCATCGTCATCATCTAAAGTATTTCTTGAAAACTTTTTCATCACATGCTGTAATTCGTTGAATATTGATCTATTCCAAATGGGCTCCATAGCGCGAAAGAGATCTCTTTCTTCCTCATCTTCTTCTTCTTCTGCTTCTTCATCTTCTTCGTCTACGTCAATAACTTCCTTTGCAATACTTACGTCGAGTTGGTTCTCTTTGTTTGCAGCCTCCACGTCTTCTTCTTCATCTTCTTCTCTAACGACTTCAATATCCTTAGGGATTTGCATATGCAGCTGCTGTTCAACAGTGATATTATCGCTACTGACGTGGTCGAAATGTTGTCTTATGGTGTCATCCTCGAGTTCTTCATCTGTCTCAACGTCAATAGAGCTCACTAGCTTTGGTTTCTTAGACTTGTAAATGGCAATCTTAGCATCCTGCTGGGAGAGTCCTAAGGACTTGTTTCTCAAATTGTATTCGTTCAATTGAGTGACATCGCCAAGGATCTCTCTTTTGGGCAGCAACTTTCTTGTGTTCTTGAGATATTTCTTTTGACTAACCTCGATATTTTCATCGTTATAAGATTTAGTTTTCATAATGCAAAGTATGTGGAGTAAATGTGTATAAGAGTATGTAGCTGTTTGTTTGTGTGTGTATGTGTGAGTGAGTGTGTGTGAGTGTGTGTGTGTGTGTGTGTGTGTGTGTGTGTGTGTGTGTGTTTGAGTGTTTGAGTGTATGTGTTAAATATTTATAATATGGGAATTATTTTCTGATAGCGAGTGACTGATATTATGAAATATTGGGGGTGGGTGTTTACGTTTGGGTGATTATGGTGGTTGGTGTGTTGTATCTGGTTGGTGATTATGAACTGAACTCTACCTTACCTACGACCGGGTTATATGTATGTTTCAGGTTCTGTGCGGTTTCTGATTCTGCCCTAAAGGTGTTAAAAATGAAGGCACTCTGTCGTAATCGTACCAAACACCTACTTAGAAATACAGAATGTGCAATACAAGAAGAACAAGTGGGACTTTATTTTCTAAAACGAATAATCCACGATTTGAATTTTCCCTGCTTTCAACTGTGCACTTGAGTGTATGTTTTTTTGTGTAGAAGCACAAACAAAAATAAAGGAAAATTTTCGAAATCAAAATAAAGCTTACCTAAGACAACAACACACGCACGAAAAAAACCAAAATACAGAAAATAAATACCGGGTGGTGAAAGTGCCAGTATGAGAGGGGAGAAAAGAAAAGGCGAATGTTTATATGTATATATATATATGTAAATGCATATGTATATAATGTGATTTCTTGTGTTTGAATTAACAATACAGTCTTTAGATCCTTTATTAATTTTTTACGTTAGTTCTTCTTTCCTATTGGACTCTGATGATGCTGCGCTGCCTCTCTTCATTCCTAGATAAACCTTATTTTAAAACACACTAAAAACATCTGGGGTTTGCCTTACATAATTGTAAACATGCTGCCTACATACATACATTTGCCAGGGCAACCCTCCCAAGAAATTAAAGTTCGTGTCGCGGATTTTCCCAGTGCTCACTGTTTATTTGTTGTGAATGCAGTGCGCATTCAGCATCAATTTGGCGCATTCCTGTGCGGTTCCAGCAGCAGGTGAGACACTGCGATGAGAAAAGGCCGAAAATTGAAAAATTCGGTATCTGTAGATAATTAGTGAAGGGTAATTGCACATGTAAAGGGCGAGATGATGACTGAGAATAAGCTTTATCTGTTGCTATTTATATATTATTTCATTGAATTAAATAAAATACAAAATTATCTATATCGTAAAAGTAGGTCGTTAAAGTAGTGGCATTATTATTATTAATATTATTGCAATTATTATTTCTGGTTTGCTCTTGCTTTTGCTTTTCATAGGTCAATTGGCTCCTCGCTGACCCTATCCAGCGGATGTTTGTGCTTCTGTACAGGCACGATGTTCATCGACCTCGTTATTCTGTCGGTGGGGGTTTGCAAGACCGGCTTCTTTTTCTTGCCCTTTCCTCCTCCTCTTACTCCACCTATATGCGGCTGCTGCTGCTGCTGCTCATTCGACTGAACATTTATTGATTTCATCTTTTGGCTATTTTGCGATACTTCATCTGTCACATACTCGTATCTCTCTTTTTTCGGAGTTGGTGTTTGAATGTCTTCTCGCACCTGGCAACAAGCAATTACATTGTATGAGTCATCAATTACTCCTATGAGATCATGGTACAATTGATTAGGGATAATATGATCTCTCTCTCGCACTAGAGTCTCCCTGGTCTTTTGAAGTCGTATAAGTAGCTGATCGGTGTGGGGTTCTGCTGTAATAATTACAGGTGGCATCAACTTCTCCGTCATTGGTTAGCGGTTATGATAAGCAGAAATGCGAAATCAACGAGTATTTCTTTTTTTTTTCCTGTTCTTGCGTTCTGCAGCTCTATATAAGCCTAATCTGGTTGTCTCTGCGGCTCACCAAGTATAACGTATTTTCCTTTTTCTGCCGCTAAATGCTAAACTGCCGTAGAAAGAGATGTGGAGTTTCTAGGTTGGAAAAATGGGGGAAGGAAATAACACTTGAAAGTTGAAGTCTATTAAGTGATTCCTCGGGGAGACTAGTTGAAGCGATTGTAGTTGAGTAAGCAATCAATTGGGGATTGTCGATTCAAGTGAATGTATGCTAGAGAACCTCTCAAAATGGTTAGCTTATGAGTGAACTTAGTTGTCTCTAAAATTAAATAGGAATTCACTGCTAGAGTAGTGACTACAAATGCAATTTGGCTAAGATGCTCCAAAAAAAACTCACAACATATTTTTCATTTATGGGGCATCATCTGTATCTATATACCTTTCATGTGCCACTTCGTTGAACTGTTTTAAACCGTTGTTTAGCTTATTGTTCAGCCGCAACGAAGCTTTCTGCACCTCAAAATCTGTACGTATTGTCAACTTTACTTTTTTTTTTTGCGTCAAATTTCAGAAAAAAAAGCTGCAGAAGGAATTTTTCTGCGATGGAAGGGGCTTGGCTCAATCATTCAAAATCCTAAAAATGAGCATTGTTACAACAAAATACAATTAGTGCCGTGTATTCGCAAGCAAAAGATGACGTATGAGTACGTCCATCCCACTATTATTATCTTGATCAAGTAATTGTATTGGACTCCACTTGAGATGACTTGATTGATGTAAAAATAGCATTTTAAGAATATCGGACTTATTTCTTCACTTGCATAACCTAAAATGCGTGGACATTTTCTTTCCCTCGGCAAACATTTTACACTTTCATTCGAAATATTTTCTATTATGGAAGCTTATCACTTGATAGAGTATCGCCGTGTTGCCGTATTGATTGTGAATATGAAGTTCTTGTGGGGCAAGTATTGGGTGTTTCTTTTTTTTTATATTACCCAATTGAACTTTTCTTGTTATGAACAACGAGAATGACTGGGGCGAAGATAGTGGAATTTCAAAGGGGATCTCAATCGCCATCAAATGCCGTATAATGATAAGTAAAGTGGATATTGCGTCACTGGGATCATCCACCAAAACGATATTTGCAAATCTCCCAATCGGCATTTAATATTACCCTCTTAAGGTAGAAATTAATAATCGTCAATGCATACTCACGTTACGTAACCTAATATAATATTTTATTTTGTATCTATATCCGCTATCGTCGCTATATAAGTCTTGATTTCAACGCTTCTCACGTATTTAACTTATGCATAGAGCGGATAAAACGTAGAGGGCGACTCATGTGTTACTCTTAATGAAGTACTCGTTAGACGCTTTCCTTAAACTTGTTCTTTTGCTATATATTTTTAACAGAGCCTTTAAGAGTCTCTGATGCTCAGGTTAATTCTTTGTCTTGCAAGCTGACTCTTGACCCTCGGGTTCATTTATTCTATATCTTATTTTTTTCATTGTTTATTGTGATTGATGCTTTTTCCTAGAAAGGACTCGCAGTTACGTATGCATTAGCCACATAAATCTGCAAGACGGTCATGGAAAATTCGACATTTTCTTTCTATTCGCCGCAGGAGTTAACCGAGACGTAGCCTGCAAGACTCAAACAAACACTTCTAATAATAGCCTTCGTCATGTTAATGTAGAAAAAAATATAGCCAATGGAAGTGCCCTTCATTGTAGATGATCGGACCTAAGATACATCTTATCGAAAGCTCCAATTGTGAAACACATTGAACGATAATTTCGCATGTGCTTCTTAATTATTAAAGTTTAATAGATAAGCGAAAAAATGAATGAAATGGAATGTCTGAGCCTACAAATTAAGAAACGAGTATGACTATTAACAAAACAGGTAGAATTGGTATTATGTATGCTTCAAGGATTACGATCTCTATAATGTATGTTTAGAGGAGGATCCACTTTCTGAAAACGGAGTATAGATCGCCTCTTGCAGTGGTACTTTTATAATTTCGGCCTATAGCTTCATCTCCCCCCTCTCTAGGCTCTTCTGTGTGTATTAAGCTCCAGTTTAGGTTCCTCTTTAGGCTCCTGCTTAGGCTCCAGTTTAGGTTCCTCCTTAGGTTCCTCTTGAGGTTCCTCTTCAGCTTCCTCTTCAGCTTCCTCTTCAGCTTCCTCTTTAGGTTCCTCTTTAGGTTCCTCTTCAGGCTCCTCTTTAGGTGGATTAAACTTTTCTCCATAAAGTCGACAAAACTCCTCGCTATTACGCACTGCGCAGTCCAAATTCTCGTTGTTGAACCCAAATTCTTCTGGGTTTATAGTAGGCGACTCAAATAATCTATCAGTCGAGTTTTTATCGAGATTGAGCAATGAAGTCAAAAGACCTCTAATATGGATAATATGGCATGTAGCATCTGAAAGACTAAATGACATTGTCATGTAATCTTCGATTTCATTGCCGTTGGAAGTAGGGCGAATAGTCCACGAGGATACTCCGTTCGGGATATATACGTTGAGTCCGTCACATTTCAGGGAAGGTTGGTTTGGATTCCACCCAATGGTGTCAACACCTAAGGAGAAGAATGAACTAACAGAGTGCACTTTAAACTTTTTACGGTACTTGGTTATCACAGCTAGGTTTGGTCTGTACATGCCCAGTCCACACCCACAATCGGTAATATGAGCTCTTGGAAATCCAATCCAGATTTCTCTTTCCGAAGGGAACTTCATCAAAACGCCTTTCAATTGAGACACTCCATTTTGATAATTTTCTTCAAGCAATTGTCTAATATTAATCAATTCGGTACCTCCTCTCATGGCTCCAACACCAAAATCCAACGCCAAACTAGGATCCATTCTATAGACAAATTCACACTGCAGTGGTTTATCGAAAACTAAATTCGTCAACTGGCATTTTAATATCTCCAAATTGGACCATCTATAAATGAAGTAGACAAATCTATCAGAATCCTCATTCTCATATCTTTCCAGATAGTTTATGAAGGGTGTCCAGTTCTTTTGAGTTGCTCCCCTGTCAAGTGCCTTTCTTCGGATCTCATGAACTCTGTTATAAGTGTTATAATCGTATTTATTATCTGACAATCCATCGACATTTACTTTTCCCAACTGGTATTGCCATGGCCAACACATAAACATAGATCTAAAGTGATCAAATTTAACAGTTGATGAACCTTCCCCATCATCAACTATTTCACTAATTTTCCTGTGGTTAGCATTGAAAAATATCGTTGGTTCTTCGTATCCAAGCTTGTTTTTAACAAGTAAAATCCGGGGATCCTCTGGTCCATAAAATTGGTGCTTATCATTAATGTAATGTGCAACAGGTAAAATGCTTGGAAATTTCACTTCCTTATAGTGAATTTGATCTTGTATCTCAGGTTTAGCCAATTTCAATTTCGAAGGGTCATTGGATGGTAATATTAAATGTACATCACGTAATTCGTTCCAATTTTCATCGAACAATTGAACATAGAGTAAAGAAACAAAGGGCTTATCCTTCACTTTATTCCTTGAGTATACCAATCTACTTATCATATAATGTACCCCATACTGTTCCAACCAGACAGAGGAGCCGGCTAACCTAAACCAGTACTCTTCCACTGACCCCTTGGCCAACTGCTCATCAATCTCCTTTCCAATAAAAGGAACTAAGTCCTGGTAGTATGGGGAATTCTCCTGTCTAAACTTGTCTAACACATCAGCAAGTCGACTTGTTAGTTCTACTTCAGTGGAAGCTTCAACAGAAATATTTTCCTTAATTGAATTACATTTCTCCATGTCCAGGTCAATATTTCTGTGGGAGTTAAACACCTCCAAGTTATGGGTTTGAAATCCTGGCTCCAGGAAGATAACATCAGAGAAAGGCGACGCCATGTACTTATTCTTTTGGTGATAGTTAAAGATTTCGGCTCCAGGAGGCAATGAACCGAATTTTTCACGATATTCATCTTTAAGATTGGCAACCTTATACGAAGATGGGAATATAATCAACAACTTGTTCGCCGGGAAATCGCTCACCAAAACATCTCCATTTTGATGTCCTTTATGTGGTGGACGAAAATTAGAGAGCGGTTTGTCGATGGGCTCATCAGCTTTGGCGTTCAGAAAGGGCTCAAATTTGAATCCTTCCGGTAAGAGATCATCCTTAATATTTGTAAGGTGAAAAGTAAATATTACAAAACAGGTAAGGACTACTAGCGCCACCGATGTCCGCTTATTGGTAGAGTACTTTCTTGCTAATTGCTTTAAGTAATTGATCATTATGCAATGCAACCGAAATCTGGGCTTAAAATACTATAAAAGGTAAGCCTACACCAATAAAAATAGCGAAGAAAAGGATGAAGAGAGAGAAGACTTTTTGACGAAACACTTCGACGACACACTTTAATTATTGACCACTGGACACATGTACGTTCTAACCCTTGGGGATAAGTTAAAAAAATAACGCAGTAGCTGCAATAGAATTAATGAAACTTAAAATGGCACAACTTAGATTTACTTTACAAAATATCGAATTACGATCGATTATTATTAAAAATATCACTGCGGCGTATATGTATCCAGATAAAAAATACCAGCAATACGTAGCTTCTCGCATATTAAAGTCTGAAACTTTGTTATTTGTCTCGAGTTGGGAATGGACTATCGAGGAGATTTCAAGTATATATAGGAAGCGAGGCCATCAATTAAGCATACATATCCTTACATGACATCCGTACATCTATGCATATTTGAGATTTATGTATAACAAGAAAAAGAGATTCTGACCATTTGATGCCACGGAGATACGGTGTAAAAACTGCTAATTCGTGAATTATTTTTTATTCTGTGTGATAGACGGGATGAAAGATAATGAGCTACGTTTCTGTTTCTTTCCATATAGTAGCTCAATGGAAAGTCAGCCTGAAATACTGAGGTAAGCTAAAAGTATAGTGAGATGAAAACCTTATTGTTAAACTTTTCTTGGTAAAATTGAGTTCAAGGCGAGATAATTGTTTCTTTTCCCCTTGAATTCGTTCAGTGAGCTTGTCAGTGATCATTACATCGTTTCTATGCTAAATTTGCTGTCATTCTTGAGCTTCTGCACCTCTGCTTCGTTGCATCACTTCTGCTGAAATTGTGTGCATTTGAGCTCGCTAAATAATCTTTTTTTTATTTTTTTTATTTTCACATCTTTTTCACACTTCGAGTTTATTCGAAATTTCCAATATCTATTCAGCAACATATATATATATTAAGAGCAAGGGAAAGTAAAATATGCCTCAGGTCTTTGGGAGTATCGTTGATGATCATACAAGATGCACCCATTACCATTCGAAGCTAGATATAATTGCGATAAAGTGTAAGTGTTGTCGAAAATACTACGGGTGCTACAAGTGTCACGTCGAAGATATAGGGCTGGAGCCAGAAGTATGGAACATAGAGGATACCGATGAAAAAGCCATTCTTTGTGGGGACTGCAGCACGGAATTGACCGTCAGGCAGTATATACAAAGCAATAATGTATGCCCCAACCGCAAATGTCTTGGAAGTTTTAATCCTGGTTGCTCGTTGCACTATCATTTATACTTCGAACTGGGCTGTGTGCTGCAATGCAGGAAAGCGAATTAAATAGGCAAAATGTAACAGTATATTTTCAAACACTCAACACAGTACACCCATAGATAAGGAGGATCACATCAGTAATTTCCTGACTTCGATCAGCACGCACCGCCCTTTTTTTTTGACACCTAGGTGTGAGGCACACTATCTAGTACTCTTGAGGTAATTTATTGACAGTGCCAAGTAAAAGTGAACAAGAAAAGATAATGAAATGGCTGATCCGAAGGCTGAATTGTTTCCTCCACACATTGTATAGCTGATTACAAACTAGAAATAATATAGTTTTAAATATATATATATATACCGTATTCCTAGAACAACTTAATTTTCTCCATCTCTTCCCCTATCAAATTGCACCTTATCCAATAATTTTTTTTCTTGTTTAGAGCCTTTGTAATCACACACGAAGATTGCCCCGGACTACTAATCAGCACCAAAGAAATTAACAGCTCTAGCTTATTCAACCACAATAATTTTTCCTCTTTTTTGCTGCTTCACAATAATTCCATACTATAATGCAAAAGACCACATTAATTTTGTCAAATCTTAACAGAGAAGACTTTCTTTCCAACAATAAATCCTACTCAGAATATGAAACCACTTCTCAGCCGAAAAGAACATCGCTCTCCTTTGTTGATAGAGTGAAACTCAACATTTTAAATGTGTCAACTCCACAACCCGACTACTACTTAAAAAATATAACACACTGGTCGAACTTGCCCTTTTTAAGTAGGGTTATTATTATTTTGTCAGACGAAGAGGTTGCTGCGAATCTTTACACCTACTTACAGGACTACTTGAAGGAAAGCACATATGTTAAGATAACGTTACAGGAAAATTTGTTACAGAGATCCAAATCTTTGGACGGCATGAAAGAAGCTGGGGACGAGCATGATGTCAATTCATTGGCAGTGTTAACGAAATTCAAGAATTATTACGGTAACACTTCCAGCGATTCTGAGGATGGGACTAATTCTCCTATTACTGATCACTCTTCTGAGTACTCAGAACCAAAGCCAAGAGCTTTTGATGCATACAATGATCTAGCCAAGTTAGGAATTGACTTGACTGAGTACAATGATCAGGACCAAATTAATGAATTGAAGAGTCCCAAGATACCTCAGTCGCCCCAACCTGGCCTTTCCAGAACCAAGTCTTTGACTAAGACATTATTCAAACCAGATCTAAAAATTAAAACAAACGTAGAATCCTCTCGTTCTTATGTTCCCCAAAGTCCAACAATTACATTGGACGAGAGTGTATAGAGAATATATAATACCGATGAAAGCGAAACATTGCAATAAAGTGAATAATAAAGCTACCAAATAATTACAATAAAGCCAACGATAATAACTTAATAATAAAAGAATAGAAATTTGTTAAATGAATTCAGATCCATGTAAGAGATTTAAGCAAAACCAATGCCCAAAAACAGCCGGAATGGAAGACAGAGGATGAGAGATGTTAAAGATTTTAAGTGACTATCAAAAATGTACATAACCATCACCAGAAAACACATACAGTGAAAGCGCAAGAAGCTCAGCCCATTTAGTTAAATCCAAAAAAAGAAAAAGGAAAGAAAGGTAGCATCGTCCTCGAAGAGTATTGTCGTACCAACAAAGTGCTCTCCCCAATCACCAATGTACCCCATAGCCATAGCCAGGACTCTGGAACCATTCTTGCAACCCGGCCACATCAGCTCCTGCATGGTGCCACTTTCATTTCTTTCTTTCTTTCTTTCCTCAGGATAAGCACTGCTACTATGCCGGCTAATTAGCCTATAATCATCCATAATACGCATTCCTGCATACAGACAACTAATTTTCTCTCATTTCCTTGCCATACAAAAACGGGGAGCGAAATTTCTTTATCAACACTTCAGCCAGTGGCTACGATACAAAGAGGATACCACAGGGTAATAGGAAGGAGTATACGAGAACCGGCCGATATTTTTTCATAGCTCAATCCATTTTCGTATCTTTATTTAATTCATATACACTCCTACTTTAATAATTATTTTTCTTTATTTCCATTTTACTTCTAGAAGAAATCTGTTGAACGTTTATTAAAAATTTGTGTGTCCACCCGCCACTTTTGAAATAAAAGAAAACCAGAAACAGTCAATTCAATTAATCAAATAATTCAATAATGAGACTTAGTTCATTGATCGTCCCCCTTCTCGCCTCAGGCACTGCTTTGGCAAAGGATGAAGATTACTACACTCAAGTGTATCGATTGACCGCCCATAGTGCCAATGATTACAAGCCCTTCGCAAAGGCTACCAATGAAGAAGCAATTCTATACTTTGCCGAGTTGTTTGGCGTCTCAGACTATTATAAGATCGGAGAAAATGACGAATCTAGCGAATTCCTTGCAGAACAATTCAATTCGTACGATGCTGTAGACACTGATAAGTCCAAGTTGATTGCTATTGTTCACGGACTTGCTCAGCCAGTAAACGACTTCTCTGGCTTAAGTCCACAATTCGGCATTTCAAATAATGATGACGATAACGAAAAGTTGGTCCATCATCTCTTCCACAAGTTCCCAAAGCAGTTCTCCGCCTTGAATAAGGATGAAGTTGAGGTTGTTACTTTAACTAATGAGATGAAGTTTATTTCTTCAATCTCTGAAGCTAACGACGATGGTTCAGACCTTATTAACCACTTCAAGTTCTTCAATGCCAAATTGGTGAGCATTTGGAGAACATTCAAGTCTCAATTTGCCTATGGAAGACAACAAGTTGAGGGTGATGAAGTTCGCAACCCATCAACCTTGAATTTGATTAACGATAAGATGTTCATCAATGAATTGTCCCAATTAGTTCATTTAAGGAAGACTAAATTGTCTCAAGGGCAAGATGAAACTTTAGTGTTGAACTTGAAGTCATTATTATCATTAGGGAACAAGATCAGTATGGATTCCCACACATTCCAATTCTCGACTAAAGTACTCGTTGATTACTTGGTTGAATTAAGTGAAGTTTATGATGTTAGTGTGATTGCCATTGCAAACCCAAAACAATTACCTTCTTACGCTAAGGATGAATTAAACAAGAGATCTAGAGAATTGGATTCAGTTTTCGCAGAAGCCAAATATGGTAAGAGATCCAATTCTGGATCATCCTCTGGTTCTGTTTGCTACTCTTCTGAAGCAGATTGCCAAGGGTCTACCTCAGACTGTAGCTCCCACGGTGTCTGCACTAAACTCTCCTCATCCTGTTGGTCATGTGTCTGTGCCCCTACTTTCAACAAAGAGAAGGGTAAAACAACTAGATGGACCGGCTTCGACTGCCACAAGAAGGAAATATCATCAGAAGCTAATTTATTGTTCTGGACTGGGTTATCCTTAGTCGTATTGATTGTCGGAGGGGTTAAGTTGTTGTATTCCATCGGGTTAGAGCCATTACCAGGTGTGTTAGACGCTGCCACAACCGCCAAGAAAGCTACGTAGATGAAATGAGGGAGTGAAATGGAATTTATATAGACACAGTCCATTCAAAAAAAGCCTGATATAAACAAAAAGAAAAAAAAAAAAGATAAAGATCAAAGTGTATGGTAAGATAAGACCAACACAAGAAAAGAATTAATATACAGACATATTTAAAGGAGCGTAGAAGCTAGAAATGTGTAGGAATTTTAAAGGAAAAAAGGGATAGGGAAGCTCATGGAGGTAACCCAACGATACAGAGATACAGAGATACAGAGATACAGAGATACAGAGATCCAGAGACCCAGAGATCCAGAGATCCAGAGACCCAGAGACCCAGAGATCCAGAGATCCAAAGGGCTGGAGAATGTATAGTGATGAGTGGGTTGTTCTTACAGAAGGGCCCCAGAAGGCTTCCTGCAGGTACTTGAATTCTCTCAGTTTGGGTGCAAATTAAGCGCCCAGTAGATTTCTGCTAATACATACAGAAGAGTACTAGATCTAAGAAAAAATGTCTAGAGTCCCTAGCACCGGTACCAAAATAATCTCTCCAAGTACATCAACTCCTGCAAACAGACATCCTTGCCCCTGAAGCCGTAAATTCAGGGAGCCGTTGGCACCATTGATAGCACAAGACCCTGCTTGCACAGTAAGCAGGCATACTCTAGCACTAGTTGATGATCAGCGTAACTTTCAGAACCTCATTGCGTAAACTTCAGTATCCCTCCTAGAACTTTTAACCAAAAACACCAATTTCGTGTACGAACCAAAATATTTTTGTTTCTGATCGCCTTTTTTTTTTTTTTTTTTTTTTCGGTCATCCGCCCAAAAATTTTTCACTTGGACTTAAAGAATTTTTCAGTCTGCTTATTTCCTTTACTTTTGGGTTATTCTTATATATAAA